GTTCTGGACTAGCAAGCTGTGAGTGTCTGTGCTCTGCGTGACATTATTGCAGCATTCACGCTAATTTTCAAGCTTTTTCGCAACACCAATTTCATGCTGTTAGGTTCAGTTAGTGCTTTTCTGTGTACTGTAACTGTGTGGTTGTGATATGACTTTACCTACTTTGCCTAATGTAAAGAAGAAAATTCCTTCAAAATCCTTTAGAACTTGATGAGCTGGATCATCTTTCCTGAGTCAGAGAGCAGTAACCCAATCTCTTCTGTTCTGACCACAGAAGAAAGCAAGCTATTTTCTCTGTGCGTTCCCCATAATGGGATCTCTGCATTTGTTTGCTTTAGAAACTTCACCCACACATTTCTGACTAAATTCCTCCTAGTATGGGAAATAGGGTTTATTTAATGTTCACCTAGCACTTGGCCTGCTGTCTTTTTCCTAAATGATGGATATGAAAGTGTGAGAAAACATGTCCTAGGTGGCAAGAAACAACTTTCTGCTGCGCTATCAAGCTCTGACAGTCTGAACTTCCAGTGTGGAAATGTGCCAATGCTTTGGGTCCACCAGCTGCTGGCATGGGCTGTCAGTCTGGGTTTCCTTTAGCAGCAAAGAAGCACTTTCAGAGATGTTTTAAATAGGCACACGGTAGCTAATGGCATCAGGTCCTGCTAGTGACTTTAAGCTTTATGCCATTCCTCTGGGTTGGTAATGGTTCTGCATTTCAGCTTTTCCTCTGCTAATGAACCCCTCACAGGGTGGCATTGCTGAAGTATCATCATCATTTGACCTGTCTTACAACTGACTAGACTGATATTAAATAGCCCATTATGTTAATATTTGATCTACTTCTTGCTTCTCCAGTCTCATGTATTATGCAGACCTTAATGGCAGTTGGCAGCAGCAAGGGATTTTTTTTTTTCTGTCTTTCAAATAGTCTGTTAATCCTGTTCACAAAAACTAAGACTCCAAATATTGTACTAGACTTGATGTAAGTTAAAGGCATTCACTTGAAAATGACACTTCCCTAGTCATCATCATACTTTAGCATTATATGAAACACTGATGAAAGTGCATTACAGGATTCCAGCATGGAATTACTGGTATTACTATTCTCATACTAAATCACACTTTAATCAGTTCCATTTCCTCACAAGTGGAACTCTTGCTCCAAGTGTACCAGTAACTGTGCAAATTATTGTATTTTGAATTGCTGCTTCTGTCTTTGCAGCTGGAAGAGAGAGCAAAGAGAGAGAAAAGTGTGGTGTGTCTGTTCCTTCAGCCCAAAAGCAGAGATGTGGCTTCACCAGTTTGTGCCACCAGCCAGCTTACCAGTGTGAGTTGCCAGTGTGTGGCAGGGAGTTAGAATTAAATGGAGATTAAGTCTTTTATCCAGTTAGGTGGATACACAATGTCACAGTACCAAGCCTGGGAGATTCAGAAACAAAACTCAGAGCAAGTGGTTAAGTAAGGTAGGTGGAACTTGCATATACCAGAGTTTCTTGGCAGCATAGAAGGGAAGGGAATTGCACAGTCAAGCAAAATACCTGCTATGGTGATGTATTTTGACTGGCCAAAAGTGGTTTTATCTGAACTGTTCTTAGGTGTTTGTATGAAGTAGCATTTTAATACTCCCTGGTTGCAAACAGTTCCTACAATTTATAGAAATTGGTAGCCTTGCAAATGAAATTTTCCATGTGCTGTCCTCTCGGATGTTTCTGGCATGGTGCTTCTCTACAGCTGCTTTCCTTAGAAGTGCTGGGTAGCATTGACAAGAGCAGTACTAGCCTTGCCTTTCTCCCGTACTGTTGTCAGGTGGAGTACGGTAGGTCAGGGAGATTTTACCACGCAGAAGATGCCTTTATAAAGACCTACAATTCTATGCAACTTTCTATTAACTGGGTAAACATTGAACTGTCTTCCAGCATTATGGGTCGCTGCCAGTCTATTTACATTTTCTACCTTTATATGCACAAGAATTAAACCAGCGCTTAACAGATCTTAATCTCTAGTGTGTATAAGAAATGGTAACACTTTGTATCACTTTGAAGTACACTTTGTATAAAAGTTGAACTAATAAAGGGTCTACACCGTAATTACAGCACTTTGGTTCACTTCATTCTGTACTGAAGTTTGAGTACCCTGTTTATCAGATGGAATAGCAACATTTAGGTACACTGGCCTGCAGAGCACAGGAGTCACAAATGCACTGCAATCACAGGCTTGGTGCCCTGGAGTAGGCAAAGCTGCATTTTCCCTCCTAGAGGAAGCAATAAACAAAGCAGGGGTGCAGTCAAACTATCCCTTCTCCGGATTTCCCTCCCACCTCACAGATGGGAGTTTCTGAATGGGATGAGTTTGGAAGGCAAAGCACTGGCAAAAATTTGAGAATTCCTGGAGTACGACACTCCAGTCCTGCACAGGCAATAGGACAATGAAGGGGCAAGAGGGAAAAACTCATTCTCTGTCCATCAACTGCAGGAATCTTACCCCAATGCAATTTTTTTATGGCCACTGGTGGGAACATGTAACAAGAGCAAAACAACGGAGCTGTTGTACTTGCTTAAACATGAGCAATCTGGACTTGGGGCGCTCAGGCAGGAATTTGCTGCATGCAGTCCTCTGCCTTCACTGACTAGACACATTCTCTTACCTGATGGAGGAGTTACTCAGCAGAAGAAAAAAGGCTGAAAGCCAACATGGCACAACCAGAGACCAGCCCAGGATCGGGGCTGATAACCTGTTTATCTCCTACACCTCTCCATGTGCACCTGGCCCTCAGCCACCTTACAGAGTGCACAGCAGCTAAAGACAATGGAAACAAAAACAAATGCACACAACTTGTCTCGCCCTTATGCCACACACAAACTGTGCCTTTGTCTGTCCGTGCTGCATTGGAGATCTCTCCTGCCTCACTCACCCGCCTCCCACTGTTCTGCTCATCAAGTCAGCACAGGAGTCTCTGAAGTTAGCCACTTAGCTGTTCCAGTCAGGAAACAAAACCTGAAAATGTCTTTTTTTAGCCAGAGTATAAAAAGCAAAATTGAACACTTCTTTGAAGTGTTATTTACTCATGGTAGCAATCCCATTTTAAAAAGCAAACCAAGTAACACCTGAGTTTTAAACAGCATTATTTCATGCTGAATTTATCCATGAAAGGAACCACTTTGTATTGAAGGGTCACAGAACTAAATTCATTAGTAAAAAAACAAAACAAAACAAAAAACATTATATACACACACTTCTTTTTTCAAGTTTAAATTTACACAGTTTTCGTACACCAATGTAACCAACCCTTTATTTCCTCCTAGTTTGAAAATTACTAATGTGACATGCTGTATATTTTAAACTCTGAAGAACCAGTACTGAATATTTACATATTTATTCCATGCTTGACACTTTACTTTTCATTTCAAATTCCCTGACAGAAACCAAATGATTTATATCCCTGCTAGTTTCGAAAACAGTAAAATTTCTAAAAAAATAAAACCACCTTAAACACATGGTATACAGGAGTGAGTCAGCTTTAAAAATATTTATGCAGTGCTCCTTAAAAAAATAGTATTAATAACAGTAACGCCTGTGAAAGCTCCACCCATTTTAGTCATAATTAGTAAAATTACATCTCCCTCTTATTTTACCATTCAGAAAATTGTTTGGCTTCCAATCCAAATCTGTCCATGTTATTTTAAATAAGGTTAAACCCTTTAAGCCGATATTGTTCCCCCCATAGGTGCACCCAGTCAATTCATGGATGTTTCCCACTTTCATAGGTTATGCAATCACCTCCCAAGCCGTGGGACAGTCTCAGAGTCTCCACATAGGAAAAATATGAAAGGAGCCTTCTGTGTATCAAATGAAAAACCTACTTAATTTAGTCAGGCAGTATAAAGGTAAAATAATTTCAATTTAAATATTACCGTACTTTTGAAACACTTGAAATATGATATGGGGAGTATTTAAGTAGAGTAAGACCCCTCTATAGCACTTCTGTAATGTCAACAGACCAAGCATAAGTGAAAATCAAACTAAGTCTTACAGTGGAACTCATTTGCTAATATTGCATGTGGCTTTTAGAGTACCACACTCCACCCTGTCCAAAAATGCAATGGCTATTGAAAATCTGTTAATTCTATGAAACCCATGGAGCCCAAAGGAATGCAAACACATAAAACCTTACTTCACTGAATGCAATATGAAAATAAGAATTTAATCAAGTAGTGATATTTCTTTATGAATTCCTACTCCTCCTTTTTCTCTTTGCACTGTATCTCAGTCTAATCACAGGAACAAAACTCCAGATCTTTATAGACCAGGTTTAACATCACTACCTGACTACATGCTGGCTCAGGTTATACACCTGGGTCTCTGCCCTCTCCTCAACTATGTTAGGCAGAGGAGAGGCAGGGAACAAATTAACTCCAGGTACTCTAAGGGTATGAGTATTTGCTTTTCAGCTGAAAGTACATGTGGCTTTCCAGTGAAATAACTCCTGTGCTCCTAATGCATGAGCTGGAGTTGCAAAGTAAGTGATGGAATGTTGACTTATTCTCCCTGAACTTAGTGACAGATTTTATTTAAATTTTATCTGGTATGGAACTTAGAAGTTTCTAATCTCATTTCCCAAGATGTCCAACAAAACCTACATAAATTACATTTACATTTGTATACTTTAACAGTTTCATTATTTTCAGTTATTCTTCTATCATCGGCTACTTCATCTGCTGGCAGACACACCTCATTCATTAATAACCCAGCTAACAAAATAACAAAGGAAAAAAGGGCTAATGGCTCTAAACCTGAGAGAAAAAAAAAAACCAGAACTGCCTTACATACATATTTTAATTTTCTTGCAGTAATAAGTCACACACAAAACACTTGCACCTTTCTTTTGGCACAATGAATATTTAAGAAGTCCTTCAAGTCTTAACTCAAAGAGGTGCTTTACTGAGTATTGTCTATTGAAATCCACAAAAAAATTGAAACATTCTTTCAAAAGGAACAAAAAATTTACAATTGTACACAAAAGTCTTCAATTTTATTGAAATTTCAATTCTTGTATCAAACAAAAGCTTTTTCTTCAGACAAAAATATTCTCTTGGTGTCCTCCAGATACAAGAAACTCTGAATTGGTCCATTAGTGATGCTGCTTTCTTTGTCATCTTCACAGAAGTCCACAAGGTTGAGCTGTTCCACCACTGGGTCTTATTTTATCGTGTGAAGGAACGTACATGACGACCTCTTCCACTGCCTCCACTAACAAATTTCCCTCTTGAGCCACCACTGCTACTACTATTAGCACTTGTCCAAGACGGTCCAATTCCTCCACGGCCTCTGGAAGCACGATCGCGAGGACTCGGTCGGTAGCCTTAAAGCAAAGAAAAGTATACTCAGTTGGAAAAAAAAAAAAAAACGCCCTAGGCGGAGTAGCTGCTGAGAAAGCGTAAGAAACAAAACCAGGATGAGATACAAACAGCGTCTGTTTCCTCCTTTTAATTTTCACTTTTCTTTTAGGCAAGCATTGCTGCTTTAATTGCGCTATGATTACCATGGAGGTACGAAGACAATCGAATGACAAAAGTCTGGGTGCAAAATTAAGATTCTGCGATCAAGTGTTCAATTCAGCAAGTTTTATGGGTTACAGGGCAGCTCGTACGAAAGCACGTACTTGACACAGTCTCACTGACAACTGTTCATATATGCTTAAAACATTTGCTGAATTTCAAGGTGTCTGCAGCATCCTTGCATGGTTTCATTTGTAAAGCAAAAATGAAATTCAAGGATTTCTCTATAGTTCGATGCCCATATGAATACCATGTACCTGCTGAACTTAATGGTCTCAGTGGTGGCAGTGGACCCCTGTTAAAATTGCTTTGACCACCTCTACTGTCATTGTAGGTTCCCCTGGGCGTACTCTGTGCACTCCAACTTGAGCCTCGAGCACCTTCACGACGACTGTAATTTCCTAGATAGGGAGAGAAAAACCAACACACTGTTGAGCAAACATCACTGGGTTTGGGTTGTTTTCCATTTCAATCTTCACAACACTCAGGGTGGTAACATATTTACACAATTCAAATACATAAGTATACTCTGTATCAACATACCTGCAGTATTCCAACTTGATGTCTACAAGTTACTCTATTCTGCACAGAATCAGGGAACAGATCTTTTTATCAGGCAAGGACTCAAGCTGAAAAGAGTTCACATTATCTAGCCTATTAAGACAGACTCTTATACTTTCAGATTTTGTGGTGAAATAAATCCTAGTATTTATAACTTTATGAACAGAAGTATTTTCTGTTTTTGCTTTGCAAGGACTTGCTCTAATTATGGGATAGAAGGAAAAGGAATGCAATCTTGACTATGTATGAAAGAAATTTAACACTCTGTAGGTTACAATCTCCAGGTTCACTGAAAATTGCATCTTATTCTTGTTAGGATCTTCCATCCTTTTATTCCAAAGCCCCATTTAAACCCAGATATGTACTGTGGTGCTTGATTTCAGGAACTACCATGTTCCAAAAAGCAGGGAAGCGCTCCAAGAGTTGCTGAAACAGCTGACTCCTTTTGTAAAAGAGAGGCAGAAAGGCAGCATGGGAATTCACAGCCTTGTTTCAATTGTACAGCTTTGGAGGTTCTCACCTTCAAGACAATCTTTCCTGGTGCTAAACAACTCATTGCAACAACACTGCTTCAGGAAGATCTCACACCGGGGATGATGAACTGCTAGGAAATTGGGTTAGTATTACTGAAGCAATTTTAGCATGCATTTACTCCAGTTCTAATACAGGAACCAACATACCTTTTGAAGCAGGTGGTGTAAAGAACCTGTTCTGACTGTGAAAAGCTCCTCGTCCTCCACGATTCCCTGAGAACCCACCACGCGAAGAAATCTTCTGTGACACTTTTGGTGGCCTTTTGGCTGGTGGTATCCCATCTGGAGCAACCACTTCTTTGCTCTCTGCAGCAACAAAATCATCCACATGCATGGAGGGTGGCCTGCTTGTGTTCTGTTTCCTCTGACGGAAGATATCGTGTGGTCGAATTCCTTGTCCAAATCCTCCCCTTCCTCTTCCTCTGGGTGGTGGCACAACATGAGCTCTCTTTGCAGGCTCTATGTACTCAGATTTCCCACTGTCATGACAAACCATGATTCAGTTAGCTAATGTAACACTACTACTGATGGTCAGGCATTCTCCATACTGGAGATGCAATTTGAAAGGTATCTGACATTTTGACAATATACAAATCAATGCTGAAGACTCTGCTAACTCATTAAACTCATTTTACCTTGAAGTTATGAAGGTCTCATGCTTGTGCTTGCCAAGCTTGAACCCTTTTGTGGTTTTTGTGCGTCCAGGAGATGATGGTTCTGACAAAAATGACCGCTCCAATTCAGCTTGCAAGTCAAAGTCACTGCAGCCCTTCTCTGACAGTTCAATTAAGTCAACTTTTACCTTCAAAGAGAGAGTTTAACCAAAACAGTCATTACTGGCATCTCCAAAAAAGAAAAAAAGAGCAGCAGTAACAAAACAAAAAATGCAGCAGAGCTGCAGCAAAATTATCTTAACAGATCTGAACACAAAAGGAGTGAAGGGCATAGCTCTCAAATATGAAGATCTGTCTTGTCACTTAATGACCCACAGTGGGACAATTCTCTTGCTTAAGGTACAGCTCTAGAAATTTACTAATGTCACTTTTATACAGTTTTGGTTTTGCCTAAGAAATTAAAAGATAACTATCTCTGCACGTAAATTAAAAGAGTAAAACTAAAAAAGAATTAAAGCAATGAAGTCAACAGAAACTGGTAATTTCTCACACAAGAAATTAAGACACTGCCAATTCCTTAGTTCTAAAAAACCAAGAATGCTACTGTATTTTTCACTATTAGCTTTAAAGTTTAGATTATAAAAGTTTCAAAAACTGTGAAAAGCTTTTGTGCAGATAGTTTCATTTACTACTGCCATGTTTCTCACTTTTGTCACATCAGAGCAAATATTTAAATAAAAACAAGTGAAACTATCAGGCTCTTGTGGATATAAATGCAATGACAGAAGACAAGCAAGGAGAAGAAACTAAATCACATTCTTTTCTACATTTAATACAAACTGATGAAAAGCCTCAACAGCAGTGCAAAAGCAGTTTGGGACTGACACAGCAACTGTTCCCCTAGGGTATTGCAAAAGATCCCAATTTTGTAGCAGCTTCCAAGTCAATCTGAAGACATTTGATAACCTCTTTAACAAATGCCAACCTTTCTATCTAGGTCAAGTTAGAAAGGTGAGCTCAGGAAAACAAACCATCTGGCCATATGAACTTCTGATGCTACTATTGTATTGTAACTATTGTTAATGTGAGGGTTCACATTAACCCTCATTTTAAAATCCACTTCAGATACATCAATGAAGCCTTTTACCATATCCAGGTCAGTGTCTATTTCTTCAGCCTGAAAGGGTGAGAACCACATGGACTTCAGCTGGTCATCCATCACATCTGCCAACACGTACGTAGTCCTACAACAAAACAAGGCCAAAGGCCTGTTTGGTTATGAACCACAACCAACAGCACCACAGGACTTGGGGTGAACATTGCTGCCCTACCCTTGATACTTACATGACATCAAATACATTGGGACTCATGGATAGTAGTGACAACAGTGCTAGATCCTGTTTTTAATATACTTAAAACATATGTATAAATTACTCCATTTTCTCAAATAAATCACAGGTAGACTGCTGACACACTCAACCATTTTACCTGTTGTTAAACAAGTTCTGAAGAGAGTCTGGTGCAGAAAGAGTAGGCTCAACATCTTGGTCACTCAGTGGACAAGAATCACCCGCTGATTCCAACATCTGCCTTACTCCAACAATGTTGTCCAGTAAGGATTCAAGGCCATCGTCTTCCTTAGAACGATCCTAAGTCAACACAGAACAAGTCAGAATTTTTTCCCCTCTGTAAAGAAGGAATAATATTTTGCTGATTTATTAAAAAAGGGGGAGGTACTATGCAACAGTCCACCCAGCCACAAATAGTGAAACTGAGACACCTGAGTACACAAACAACAGCAGAAAGCTCCTAGGTGTGGTGTTAAACATACCATGTCACCACATGCACATTCTAGGTTCCATTCCCAACTGATTCAATATCCTTTATAACAGTCCCAAGAAAGACACTGCCCCAGGTTTTATTTAAGAAACTCTCCGCTAAAACATTCCAATGTCCTGTGTCTGCTGTTCCTCATACAGAACAATTGTGGCTTTTAATCTCTTAGCTAAAAGATGTAGGCAGCCAGGGAAGGGACAAGAGGGAATATAGCACTTGAAAGGCATTTGTGATCAACAGGCTGTGGAGCAGCTGTTTCATGGACTCTTAAATTAGCCTACTGCATGGCCATCAGTTACACAGAATCAGATTTGAATATCAGAGTTCAGTTTGCAATTATAATCACAGAAAAGTTGGATGCATTGAATTCTGCATGTCCTCTAGTCCATTCTCCACCATCACTGCTGGAAGCAGGACTATCATCAAAGCCAGGTCACATCAGCCATAACTTTATCCAGTCATGTCTAGAAATAGCTCCAGTGGCACAGAGCCCACAGCCCCAGAGCCCCACTGACCTGCTCAGTGCTTCACTTCTCTCTCAGCAATTTTTTTTTTTTCCTAATGTCAACCTGAACCTCTGAAGCCACAATCGGGCGGGGGGGGCATTGCCCCTTGATTTATCATCTGGAATTACCAAAAGAAGTTTGATTCCACAATCTTAGTTATTATCTTCCCAAACAGCTGCGGCAAACTCTGAAATAGTTCCTGAGCCCTCTTCACCAGGCTAAACAAGCCCAGCTTCTTCCTCCTCTCTCTAGCACGTGTGCTGTAGGTCCCTGACCACCTCGGCAGAATCCTCTCCAGTTTCCCCAGGTCTGTCTAGACCTGGTGAGGGGGCAAAGCTGGTCACAGTGAACACAACACTCACATGAGAGCTCAGCAGCCTCCCATGGTGGGAGACAACAAGGCTCCTGGATGTGCTGATCACACTCCTTTCAGGATGGCTGAGAACACACACACTCACCTGCTTCTAGTGACCCTTCACTGTTGGCCCACATTTAACCCATCAACCAACACAACCACCTGGCCCTTGTCAGCCCAGTCTGCAACAAGGCATGGGATTATCCTGCTTTCACTGCAGACCTTTGCATTTTTCCTCATGAACCACACAAACTTTCTGCTAAATCAATCCTAAAGCATTTGTTGACGTCTCTCTGGATTAATGCTTTGCTGTATGTTAGATTAGTCACACCCCCCATCCTACTGGCATCCACAGATTCACTCAAAAGGTATCCATTGTTCAGGCCTCTGATGAAAACATCCAACAATATCCAGCTCCCAGTATTAATTCCACTTACCAGCAACATCAAGCCACCGCTAAGCTGAGGCTCCTGCTGTTTATTACATTAACAATCTGCTTCACCACTACCCTGCACCCTTTGCTTCTAGGCATGTGCTGCCTTCCATGGCACTGTTAACTGCCTGGGCTAACAGAAAAGCGCAACATCAACTTGATTATTTGAATTCTTTTACCATAACATGTTTCTCCAGATCAAGAAGCAGGCTTTCTGGGGTTTCGTCTTTGTTCTGCAGTAGATGTTTTAACTCTGCAGTGGTAAGACCCAGCGTTCTGCCTGAATGGGAACCATCTGTTTCCATAAGGCTTCCATCATCTCCACAACACCCCTGAAAGATGTGACAGTTGGAGAGTAAGTTCTCATAAATGTTCAGTACTTCTGGATTGCAAACCCCTTTGAATTCAAACACACATTAGAGCAAACATAGCAAAATGAGTTCTCTTGATTTAAAAACATAAGACATAAGATGTAAATTATTTTAACAAAGCACACTTCAACAAGCAAGTTTATATACTGCATCAAGATGAATGCAACCCTTTCCTGTACTAGATGAGGTCTGTATCACAGATTTTATAGTTCTTTCTATACTACACATCTAACAGGATGCTGTGAATCTAAAACTGGGACACCACAGCATACTATTCACTTAGGAAATCAGTATGAACCCACATGCCTTTCTTCCTACTAAAAACCCCTCTTACTTACTAAACATACATCCTTGCCCAGCTTTCACAGATTTATTAAAAACTAAAGATGGCACTAACATTACTAATGGAAAAGCCTCACCCAGCAATCTGCAGAATCAACTGCTTTCTGAAATAATTGTTCCTGAGCATTAGGAACACCGCAGATTTCTGCAAAATGCAGCTGAGTTTAAGCATTCAGTACATATTCACTTACCAGCGTATCAGAGTTTAGAATCTGTCGCATAAAATCCAAAAATGAAGAGGCCAGTTCACCTGTGTCTTTGCTGAAACTAGTTATTACTCGCTTTAATACAGTATAGAGAGCATTGCTGTGTTTTCTTAGAGAGCTGTTTTCAAAACAAAAAGAGAGAAAATACTTTATTAGCACATACATTGTGACCATTCCACCATAACTGGGTAGAAGAAAATGGCATATATGCAAAATAAACCTGGCAAATTTTACAATTACCAAGTTCAGCCTTGATTACAAAGCTGGAGCTTCATTATTTTCTCTGTACTAGACTCCTGTTTTCACCAGTACTGTCTGCCGATATTTCAGAGTACACATACACAGCTATATAAACCATTTCCACAACATTCAAAAAATTACAATTTAATCTTTGGCAGAAAAGGGACTGAAGTACAGAAATATGTGCTTGCACAAGGACCTTATGTATGAATCAGGATCATGCTTGTAGCTACAATTTCACACCATCCCCTGATGCCTAACTACAGAAAACGAACTGTAAAGGGAACACCAAGAGAAATATCAAGGCTGTGCACTGAACTGACAGCTGGACACATGGTACCCAGCATCTCTAAGACGCAAAAACAGCATCTGTAACTTGCTAATTTTTTATTGGTGGCTATATGGCTTCTTGCATCCATGACTTACAAAGTGTTTTGAACAACCTTATATTGACAAGGCTCTTTTTTCTCTCTGCAAACCTCACCTTTTTGCCTCTGCACTTCAACTTGAGCAAACAGAAACAGGTCCAAATATAGGACAAAGAAGCGAGTGTCAAAACAACATGTTGTCCAATAAGTGTATATATTCTGTTCAAAGTGAGTGAACAAAAATAGCTTGGAAAAAAACAACTCATTTCTAAAGCCTTAATTGTCTGGAGGTCAGAACACTTGGGGAAGTGCAAACTGAATCCCCTAAAAATAGAGGAATTACAGACAGTTCTCCAGTGTTTCATATGAGAGCTCTTTGAGTGTCTCAAAAGGGAAAGAACAAGAGCACTACATCTCATTCTAATCCTCCAGCCTTGGAGTGGGGAAACAGAGTGTACAAACATGTTTCCAATGCTTTGTCTCCTTCTTGAAACTAAGTGCTTCTGTATGCATACTGCAGAAATTATTCAGAGTATGAAGGAACACCAAAATACTGAGTAAAACACTGAAGCCCCAAAGAGAAACAAAAGCTTAGATGCCTTATCCTCAACATTTTCTACTAAATGTGTAAAAAATTATTTCGCACTACAGTTTTTAAACAATTTTAAGCTGTTAGTGATATCATAAAATACCATACCTCTTCAAGTGGTAGAAGCCGTAGTCATGCTCTGTAAGGAACATCATTGTTCGGATGCATGTCAGCAGACAACTGTAACTGCTCTCAGAATTTGTTAATGTTTCCATCAGACAGTCACAAATTAAGGGCATCAGCTCTTTGCTTGGTAAGGAGTTGGAAAGCTGCTCTAATTCAGACACAGAGCCTTCTGATGAACTTGGTAAAATAAGTGCAATATCCTGAAAGAATTATTATACATATAGTAAAAATGCATTCTGTATGCCTGCAGTAAATATAAACCATACATGAAGTCAGAAGCACTGGGTTCTTTCACTATCCCTTTATCATCTTATTCCAGTATTTCAGTTATTATTGACCAGTAAAATACTAATCTAGAGTACCCTTTTTGTTCAGTTCTGTTAAGGGTTATAAACCATTATTTATTTCTAAAACATAAAAGCTTCAAATTCTGAAATATCATAGCAGAGCTAAAATTAAAGCCAAACAGTCATTGGATAACATACACAGGTTCCTGCCTGGGTAGTCAATGTGTCCCTCAATCTCAAAACACTGGTCAAAGAGGCTGAAGTTCCTTGGCTGGTTCAGCCTGGAGAAGAGAAGCCTGACCTTCTCAGCAATCTACAAGAGCCTTAAGGGGAGCAGCAGAGGGGCAGGTGCTCCCCTCCCACTGGCGACCAGCGACAGGACACAGAAAGGGAATAAAGCTGCACCCAAGGGACATTCAGGTTGGACATCAGGAAAAGGTTCTTCACTGAGAGGCTGGTCAGTCACTAGAAAAGGCTCCTCAGGGAAGTGATTAGACACCAAGCCTCTCAGAGTTCAGAGAGCATCTGGATGACACTCTTAGTCATGGTTTAGTTTTAGATACTCCTGTGAAGGGCAAGGAATTAGACTTGATGATCCTTATGGATCCCCTCCAATTTGAGATATGCTTTGAGTCTAAGGTTCTGTGAAAACTAAGAGGCTGCAGACACCACCTATGAAGTTTAGGACCTTCTGTCACTTCCATATTTTACATAAAATAAAACAAGATTGATTTTCCCATTGAGTTTGTATGGACAGAGAAATCTTGTTAATATGCAAATGGCTGATTATCTCTACTGACCAACAACATCCAAATGTCTTTTGTGTAACTGAGTAAGCACTAGATCAAATAAATATATGCTCTAGTGAGACAAATAATGGCATGCAAATCTGTGCACACATTAATGAGAAACTACAGGGCCAGTCTACAAACCAACTTTCAGCTAGCATTTCTTACCTTGCTCTAGTAACTTCTGCTTTTTTTTTTAATGAAGGAGTTTTACAGTACCAGCACATCATACATATCTTTATATTTGGAATACATTTTCAAGAGGTTTCACTTAGATCACTAAGAGATACACATTTATTTAACTAGGTAAGAAGTGAACAGTGACAACTCAAGTTTTGTCAGTGGCCCACATGGACAAATGGTATCCCTCTCTCAGCTGATGGGACAGGAAATCTTTGTGCTACTCAGTTTCTGGTCTCCAATGAGCTACCAGAAGAGAGCACATAATGCAGAAGACATGTCAATAAAATGGAAAGTATTTACATTCAAGAACAAGAAAGCAGCACATTGCCAAAGTAGCCAACCATGCACACTTTTTTGTGTTTTAACAATGCTATTTTTTTTTTTTTAATTTTGGAAAAAGAGGGATACTTAAAAAATAACCTCATTTAATTTGTCTCCTACAATAATCAACACACATTATGCAGGAAATATAGCAAATACCTGATCACAGAGGGACTGCAAAAGGGAAGTTACATATTCAGAGCACTGTTGATGAGTGACATTGTCCCCAGCTGATCGCATCAAAGCCAAGAGCTCCTGGAAAACCTCTCCATACTTTTCATCTCCTTTAGCAGTTCCATTGATAAGATGCAAAATAGCCAATTTACAAGCTTTATGTGAAGCCAGGGCATCCAATAAAGCAAGCAGTCGAGTGGTCTGTCCAGTGTACTGTTTCTCTTTGTCTTCAGTGTTGCTGAAAGGGTATCAGTGCACTGTGAAAAAGCTGGTTTAAAGTGATCTATGAAACTATAAAAAAATCATCACAGGAATCATATAATTCTGCATTTTAGAAAAAAATCCACCTAGTTTGCACACTTAAACTTACAGTTCCATTTACTATTTAAAAACTGCTCAATTTTCACTAAAGGACTTCTGGTCACATCATTAATTAATCTACTGTGCATTTAATATACTGTAGGTCATCTAATTGTATAAGATATATATGCTGTTATGTAAACAGTATCTAAGTGGATAATTATGTTTTCAAGAAAGAGCACTCAGTTTCAAAACCCTCTGAACCTGTATCATTCAACTTCTACTAGTTTACAAACATCTTTACACGTACATAATCCCAGTACAGCAAACTTTACTGGCCCACTCTTCTTATTTGTGTCACACAGGTCCTTAAAAGCACTTTATAGGCGAGATGAGGCTTTGCAAAGCCAATCTGAAGAAAATCTTCCTAAAATAGTTACCCATAAACATGCAACATGAAATGTCTACATCAAAACCTAGAGGTATGAGCTGGTTCTCTGGCAACCTTAAGCGTTATCAGAACACAGCATATAGCACTGGAATGAGAATTTGTTCAGCCCATAATGAATAACATTTCCAAAAGTATTTTCCTCCTGCTAAATCTACTGTGCAAAAGCAAGGTGAATTTAACAGTTCATCAGCAAAATCTTTGCAAGAGAAAACAAAAATACCTTTGCAGGTCTTCTACAATTAGATCCAGTACTGTCCTCATGATGAGAAGAGCAGTAGGTGAAGCCAAGTCACACAGCTGAACACAAATCCGCCTCAACATGTGCTGAATGGGCTGGCAGGACGAGCCGGAGAAAGATCGAACGATCTCCTGGATCAGCTTGGCCTGCACGTGGAGGTGCATACTCCACAGCTTCCTGGTGTTGAGTGCCACTGCAATATCATGGGCTTCAATTACCTGCAGGAACAGAAGGACAGGAGGGTTCTTCCTGTCAATTTTTATGATAAAAACCTGAATTCTATCACAATGTATAAACAAAATACGACTACTGTCCTCATTAAAAATATGGAATGCCATTTTCATTGTCAGCAAATGACAGGGCATGAGCCAGCAAATTAGGTACTCCTTCGGGAGCATGGATTGTCACACATCTTTTATGCTTACTTATTAAAGATCACAAATTCAAGATCCATGACAAAAGAAAGAAAAGCCTTAATATACCAAGTTCAGCATTCAGAGTTAAATTTAAAGCTTCAGAGACAGTCAAGTAACAGAACAGGAGTCTAGATAATCTCACAAGGGACAAAAGAACAACATATGACTGGTAGCTTAAGATAAATACTCCAAATAATACCAATTTTGTTTCTGTTGAAAAAGACTTATCTACAAAGAATCTGTATGAGCCCAAATGCTTTACTACAACTTTAATTCATCCTTTCATGTATCTGTTTTTTCCACCACTACAAAAATGGCCAAAGCATTATACATAAATAATAAAAATTCTTTAAAAACCAAATACATCTAAGTTATACCTGAGTAGTCTGCATGGGCAGTGGAAGAGGCAACAACTCTGAAAGCAGTATAAGTCCAGAGAAAAAGCCTTCAGGAATTCTCAAAATTGATGAGAGAACTTCCTTTAGCATTAAAGACCAAGTATTGTTCGCTAAAGTTTCCTCAGAAATGGTAAGTTTTTCATTAACACCTTGTGTAAAAGTCAGTAAGACATCAACAATGTCATTCTGGATTTTTTGTTCATCACTATCTAAGCGGCCTGAGAGCGGAATAGAGCAGAGGAGCATGTGTAAAGAAACAAGTGCTGCAGGAACACGCATGTCCTTGAATTCAAAGGATCCACCCCTCAGGAGTTCTGTCAGCATTGTTTTAAGGAGAGTCAGTGTACAGCGGGCCATAGAAATAGTGGTGACTCTGTGCAGCGTGGTGCCCATGTTGACATGGAGTCGCCAAGGCTGAATAAGGATGCTGTTCAGCTTCTGCAACACCCGGATGAAGGTGTCCATTCCCTCGGAAGAGAAGAGCTGAATAACTGCAAGATTCCATTTAAGGTCTTTCTGTTGACCTGTACAGAAAAGAAATAACATTTCTGTATTTCTAATTTCTCCTGGACAATCACAGTTACACTTCAGCCAGGTTTAAGTAGAAGACTCAGAAAACTAAGATTTGTACTTTAGCCTATACAAGTACATCAGCCATACCTTCTACCATAGGCGGTGGACATGCAATATGACAGAGAACACGAAGTGCAGTGGGAAGACCAACTCCATCTGGAGTCATCAAACTGTCAATATTCTTTTAGGGGAAAAGAAAAAGAAAAAAAGGAATGAGCCTCTATTACAAGGAAGGACTTTATGAGTATACTGCTTGCTTAGTATTCAAATTCTGTATTTAGTTACTATAAGTATGTCACAAAATTTAAGTTTAATTATTTCACTTTTTGGCAAGCAGTCATAAATAAGGAAGAAACAAAAAAAAAAAAGCATCAACATTTACATTGTGATTTACAGGAAGCTAAAAGATTTAAACAATTAGATCTTTGCATCATATATATTTACCTTAGATTTTGTTTCAATAAATATAACAATGCAAGACCCAGCCTAGATCATAAGTTTTAACAGAAACATCTCTTTTGGATAACAGTATGTATTTTTAAATATGTTAGTACATATCTAAGACAAAATATCAGACTACAAAAGGTCTAAGCTTATAGAACATAAACAAAAGCATCTACCTATATTTTACTGACCTGTTTGATATATTCAATAAGATTTGGAATACAATTTATTTCAAATCTAAGATTTTTCAAGGGTTCAAGCCACTTGCTGAGCTCTGGGAAAAAAAAATACTTAAGTCAATGAATTTATGATCATAAAACCTTTTTCAATCAAAATTTACTTAATTTACACAACAGGCACTAAAACCAAGTGCAAAATTTGTGAGGCACATAGTGCAGCTGTAGCCAGGTGAAAAGCATCAACAAAAACAGAACTTCAGGACAGGCAATATATACTATGCACAGTGACAAAATTTGGCTCAAGTCAACCTGAAGGCAATTTTCATTTCATTATCTGCATTACCTGTAATTAAATAATTTTTTACAAAAGACACTAAGGGACACTGTCAGTTAAAGAAAAGAATCAAATCACATTCCCCTTAATGTACAGAATAGGTTATTACAAACTAAGTACAAAAGTTCTATTAAGTGCCCAAATAGAGCCAATCTCCGCCCTGCACTCACTCATGTTAGAAGTCCTTACAGATTATCAGTCTCTCTCTTAGTCTAGAATAACCTGAAAGTCCCAGGTTCCTGGGATAAGACAATTAAAGATTTAAAAACCATTGCTCCTGAAAATATTTATAGAAACGTGAAGATCAAGTGTATTTGAATTGATGACTCAGATTGATTTCATGATTTGGTTTAATAAACTAGCCCTGCTTCTCATAAAGCGGTCTGATGATCAGGTGAGGAACAAAAATAAGAGCATGACAGAGATTTAAACTAAAACTTTGAAGAATTCTGATTTCTTCCATGTATTTAAGTTTTGGAATAAATTATTGGTATGTCTACATGAGCCGGTAAACCAGTGCAGAGCACAACTTTGGGCATCAGTCTCAATGTTCAGGTGTCAGAATAGTCTCCAGCAGGATTCTTCTGCATGTCCCAGGCCTGATCTGTAAATCAACACAAGCTGGGAAGACACCAAGACACATCTTGGACATCAAAAGATGTCGCAACAGGGTAACATGGACTATTCCATGTCAGCTGGCCTAGGTGCCCTAGAACAGTCCCAGGGTTATTTAGTAGTAAAGATTCTGTCAGACTACACCACTGTCCTGGCTACAGATGGGATAGAGCTTGTTTTCCTCCTAGTTGCTGTTCAGTGCTGTGTTTTGGATTCACCATGAGGACAACATTGATAACGCACTGATGTTTTGGTTGTTGCTTACCCTAAGTCAAGGACTTTCCAGTGTCTCATGCTCTGTGAATGAGGAGCTGCACAATAAGCTGGGAGGGAGCACAGCCAGGAGAACAGTCCCAAACTATCCAAAGGGATATTCCACACCATAGGATGTCATGTTCAGTATGAAAACTGGGAGAGTTGCCTGGAAGGGGATGATCACTGCTTGGGGAGGGGCTGGGCATTGATCACCAGGTGGGCAATTGCACTGTGCATCACTTGTTTACTTGGGTTTTATCTCTTCTCTCCTTTTTATTATAATTATTACTGTTATCATTACTACTATTAGTATTATTACATGTTGCTTTTTTTCAAATATTTAACTTCTTATCTCAATCCAGAAGTTTTACTTGTTTTTCCCTGATTCTCCTCCTCATCCCACTGGGGGTGGGTGGTAGGGTGAGCAACAGTGGTGTGGTACTCAGTGTCCAGTGGGGGTTAAACCACAGCAATAGCCAGAGTAAACAAAAATAAGACTCAGCTCACTGACTAGTTAGTCCACTTCTACTGAAATTTGCTCTCCTATTATCAACACAGTTTGAATAACTTCAAACTTCCTGTAATTATCCAAAATTCATGGTAGCTATTTTACTTGAAAAAAAAAATCAACTATAAATATTTCCTATTTAACTCTCATTAACAGAAAAAAAAAATTGTGCATTATCTCAGTGACTCAACTAATCAGATGCAACTGGAAAAGTAATTTCATTATCTAAGCCAGACAACTGTGAAGCACCAATTATTCACATCTAAAAGATTTCTTCTATACATTCAAACAATTCAGTTGATAATTACACATACTGTACCTTGCAACTTGGTGTTATTTTCATCTGCTTTACAAAGCTTCAGCAGAGGTGCTGAGTGCTGTTCCAGCATTTGAACATCACTGGAAGATTGTACCACCAGCAAAACAAGGATGCAGGCATAATTATAAGCAACTGACTTCTTAGACTTTGAGTCTCTGAAACAACAACAAGGCTTTTCTTTAGATCTCAGCTAACACAATTGGATATTTGTTAGATTTTAATTATTTGACCCCTAAAAATACACCTACAGAACTTATACCTTCAACAAGGATTTCCTCACATAATTACCAATGAAAGAAACCCAAACAATTTCCTCCTATGTTTTTTGGCAAGTGAACATTTTTTGCTGCATTATACGTCTTCATTTCAGCATCAACAAACCATGAGATCCAGTCAAGTGGCATGCAAATATTTTTACGTAACTTTATCTGTTTCACAAATAATTTTAACATCACTGCTATCTATAGTACAACTGCCTGTCCACAGAAAACAGTTACTGAATTTAACATCTCCAAGAACTTGTAGAATTGAGAGATTCCCATCCCAGAGTAGTGTGCAGTACTCTCCAAACCCAGTCAAACCTTTTGCTTGTTTCACAGGCAACATTTTATGCTTGAATAAAAACTGCCTACTTAATAATTTTTTCACATAATCAAAAGTTTGCCCTACATATATTACAAGACCTTTGTTGATGACCTACACAGATTTGGGTTAAGTACTTGATTACAAATAACAGGCCTGATTTTGCATTATATGCTTCTACTTAAAAGATGTTTTGGCTTTAAATAAAAACATCAGGATCTAAAAGAAAATAATTTTAGATTTACTGAATTATTTATAAAATAAAGATACTTTTAAAATTAAAAAACTAAAGGAAATAAATAAATGCATACATTACCCTAAAGCTTCTTTGGAATAGTACTCCATTAAAGTAATAAGACTTTGGAGATTTTTTTCCAGACTGAATACATGAGCCACAGCAGATCTTCCTACAGGGTTAAAAGTGATCAAGTAAAGGTTGTGAAGTGTTCCCAGCAGATCTGAGTGGTCAGTCTCCTCGCTGGCTGTGCACCGCTGGAAGTGGCAGAACAATTCCGAAATGCACTGTAATGTCTGTGTTGAATGCAGGAGCCACAGGGCAAAAGTATCCTCGTTGGCACCATCTGACTGCAGACCTTCCTCTTGGTCTGGATCAGAAAACTGACAAAGTGCTCTAACCAACAAGTTTGTTGCTTCGTGCTCAGAAATAAAGAAAAGAAGACCCTTCTGTGACTGTGCCAGGAAACGCAATATATCTCGGATAGCCTGAAGCACACCTGGATGTGCACCTGTCACTGGAAGAGACAGCAGCAAAGTAATGCATTCCAAGAAATGGTGACTATGAAGATATCTGAAAAAAAAAAATAAAAAAAAAAACCAAACCAAAATCAGGGAAATAATCAACAATGCTACAAATATTTGTCAGCACATAAAACTATGCACCTCCTAACTTCAGTACTTATTGCTCTGTGGACTATGAGAAATAATAACTAATTATGAAGTAGTACAAAATTTAAATCTTACAAAATGTAATTGCTATAATATTTACAAGAAATAAGTACTAAAATTCTGATCTCCATTAAAAAACCCAAACAATAAAAAACCTCAACTATATTGACACACAAAACAGGACACTCTATTTTATTAAATTTGCTGTATCTGAAACCTCATCAGTGCAGATTCAATGTTTTAAATGTGCTAGAAAATCTGTTACAGCATATCTAGCAGGTAATTTTTGAACTCTTTGCACATAGATGCTTATATTCAGTCATGACCTACACCACTGCTACCAAAGAAATCTGTCAGCATTTAGAGAAATACCTTCTAGACAGAAACTTGTTAACAGAGTAAAAACCCATGAGATGTTTTAACTGGCTGAAGGCAGGCAGGCCTCAGATCCTCTGCCTGTGCTGTGACAGTGAGCACAGTGACACAACTGCATGACCTTTTCATGAATCCGAGGCCAGTTTGCATCGTGCCACCTTGACATCCACACTGAGGAATTCCAGACCTATTTTATCCATACACATAGTTGTGTTCCAAGATGACAAATTAAACACTCTAGATTTACAACCATTTTCAAACTGGACAGCACTTAGCATAACTGGTAAGCACCTATGAATGCAACTGAAGGGCAAGTACATTACCAGTAATAAGGAGATGTTAACTTCCGGCTAGGTGCATTCTAGGCTGATTGAAAGCCAACAAAATAACAGGCACGTTAACTTATCAAACTCTCTCAGACTTTATATCCACAATCTAGAATCTTCCAAAAAAGAATTAAGTGAAATATCTAGCAAAGTGTTATTCAACAAAGTCATTCCTGAAATATATTTCTATCAAGCTGGAGGAAACACACTCTAGAAATTGAATTTGCAACTGCTGTACCTAAACAGGACAGGGTAAGGATCATCCCTTTCTGGAGGGCCCGTAATGCGTGCCATGGTTGGGAAAGATTTCACAGGGGGCTGAATCATTGTATGAGGAGCAGTTTCCATCAAATGGAAGATCTCTTCAAGAAGACTAACAAGTTTTTCCATCTCTCCTTCGCTTATATTAGAAGATTCCAAAAGATGATCCATATCCATAGGAGCTTCCACATCATTTTCATATTCTTGGTTGGTTCTTTCAAGTCCTGCCAAATCCTGGTCCTGTTCTGGCTCTGTGTGATTAGGAAGAGGAGGAGTGTTCTCTGCTAATTGATCCACCACCTTTTTAATGTCTGACAGAATCTCGTAGAAGTGACATTTCTGTAGGATTGCAGAACCAGCTGTAACAACTCGCACAGTCTGATCCAACAGTATGAGTTCCAGGAGTTTCTGATAACCACTTTTTTCATGTACATCTGCGCCACCTCTTAGAAACATTTCCATTCCCTCAGTCATACTAATGACACTATCCAAAGCTTTAAAAGCATTAAGTTTAAGGGATGATGATACATGATCTGCAAACAACAGTTCAAACAACACATTAATAACTCCTGCCTGCAAGAGTGCCATTATTCCTTGAGTCCCACATTCTGCTAACGAAGATACCAATTTTGTCCCAGCTTTGAGTTGTCGAACATTCAAAGCAATGGGCTGTTTGAGAGCCACCTGAAGGTTTAAAGCTTGCAGGGTCCAGTCTACTAGCTGGGTAATATAGTCTTGCTTTGTGTCTCTCACCAGCAGGTAGCTCAATTCTTTAACTATTAAACTTGGAATTTCTTCTAATGCCGTGACCCACTTTGCACCCCTTTCCTCTTGATATAATTCCAACAGTTCAGTTAATTTAACTGAGCCTTCCACTGCCCCTGAATTTTCCTTTTCTGGGTCTTGGTCCTTTATTTTAGCAACTTCATTTTCAAATACAGTCTTGTAAGGGCAGCTGAAGTATAAAAGCGGTCCAAGCTCCTTTTCAAAAGGTTCATATGTCACAGGAGGCACGGATGCCAGATCCTCAGGAGTATATTCAATATCAAAGCTTGGATACTTAAATGTTTCACGTTCTAGATCAGCAATTACATCTTCATCACTTGAAATCTGCTCATAGCCATCATCTCCTACAATGAGAAAGATTAAGTTACCAAATCAGTTATGAAAAAACTAGTTCATAACTGCAGAGAATATCTTCCAAATACAAAGTAGTGATTCATTTACACAAATATTACTGGCTAGAGAACAACCACACACTAACATACAAAAAGCCTTCTCTGTCAAGATACGAGTTGATAGGGGCTTTTTATGTACTAATGGAGTCATTTAAAATAAGTTTAACTAGAATACACATTAGTACAACTATATTGTCCAATTTTCTTCCTGTGATTGCACCTATAAAAAAACTTCTAGCCTGCAATTTTTGCATAGATATGGGTGGGATCTTTAAATAATACAAGAAGATGATAACCAAATATATTATATAAACAACTTCACTTGGTTTTTACTTAAGAAATAATTTTTCACCACTTTCCTACATTTTTAAACAAAACAAGATTGAATGTTCATTCTCGCCTATACAACTGTATCTATTTTCCTCCATTTACAGGAAGTTTTACTATAGAGGAATAAATATTCCACAGCAAGATACTGCTCTTGAGATATGTCAGGACCACAAATAAGGCAATAACCAAGGGAAAAATATTCAGTTCCCTTGCACATACTCATCATGAAGGTACTGCCATCAAAATTTCATAAACCTGGTTTTTTTCTGAACTCTACAACTTACCATCACCTTCTTCCTCCTCTTCACCCTCTTCTTCATCTTCATCATCTTCCTCCTCCTCCTCTTCTTCCTCATCAGCAATACTCTCTACTGTATGACCATCATCATCATCATCGTCATCGTCATCCTCATCCTCCTCTTCCTCCACATCCACATCATCATCATCTTCCCCTTCTTCTGGTTGATCTTCCTCTACCTCTCCATCATCCGAATACTGGCTTTCTTGATGAATGGACGTTCGGTCAGGAGAAATCGGCTCAAAGTAATCCTCCCTATGGTCCACATCATCTTCTTTTTCCCCAACCACTAAAAACAGATACAAAGTTTCAGAAATAAGAGCACTTTTCCGAAATCCAAAGATATTAAACAGGACTGGCCCTATGAGTAGATCCCATATGGCCCCATACACTTGACCTGACCATTCCCTCCTTGATTACTGAGGGTTCATTCAGCTCCCTGTATCTGTCCTCCAGCCCAGGATACCTGCAGAGTAACTCCTTTTCCTGCTAAAGACTGAGGCAAAGAAGTCACTAACTACCTCAGCCTTTTACACATCCTTTGTCACCATGTATCTCCCTGCATCCAATAAAAGAGATTCTCCTCAGCCCTCTTTTTTTTTTTTTTTTGCTAATGTATTTATATAAATATTTTATTGTCTTTAATGGCAGTAGATACGTTTTAGGTTTCTGCATCACATACACTAGAGATGCAAAAAAAGCATCTTTAAAATCTTGTAGTGATTTGACTAAACACAATCACTTAGTTCAGCAAGACTATGAATATGGAGAGTTCTTGGCACTTCTAACCAATACAAAGACTGGGTAACTTGGCAGATGCTGCAGAATAATGCAGAAGGACAATGGATGCCAGAGTCAGCAGAACACTTATATAAAACATGAGCAGCATGCTCAACAGTGTATTGGTTAACAGCCAACATTCTCAATCTACTATCTTAAAAAATTATGCAAATTAACAAACCCAAAGCCTATTTTTCTCCAAATCGCTTTCCTGAAACTGAATCTGTCCAGAAGAAGCAACAGCATGTAAGAAACTTCACACTGGGCAGGAACACAGAATTCTGCCTCCTCTAAGCAGTGATGTGCAGCAAATAAAACACAGTCTCTTCTCATTCTACCTGACACTGGCATAGGTTCATCCTCATCATCATCAGGAGGAGGAGGGCCTGGAGGTGTCCTTGGTCCCCGGGGCTGTGGTCTTGGAGGACTGCCGTTGAATTGGTCTTCTTTCTCTCCATCAGCTATATTTATTGGGAAAACAAAAACTTGCATTTAATGAAACCACAGGAATAAAAGCAGAATTTTTTTGGGTTTCAGGGCTACTTTTGACCGGGGAACACCATTGCCCAACCTTTATTTTATCAATACTCTGCGTTACATGAGGCAACTTTCTAAAGTCACTTTTGATGAAGTAATTTTTGATGTAAACAAGAACTACATCAATAAACTATTGATCTTTTATGTAATACTTGTTTAAAACTTACATGAGTAATTGCCAATTTTGGTTTTGACACTACGAAACAAGAACTACATCAATAAACAAGCTTATTAACACCATTGATCTTTTATGCAATACTTGTTTAAAACTTACATGAGTAATTGCCAATTTTGGTTTTGACACTACTCATACTCTATCAATAATATCTGAATTGCTTTAAAAAAAAGTTCACATTTTACTCTATTGGTTTTTACAGTTTACAACTCTCTTTTACTGCACATAGTATTCAAATTTTGCAGTCTTCCAGCCATACTGAACAACAGTTCTAATTTTAAATCTAAAATCAAAATTGAAGCAGAAACTTGACCATGGATTCTATTCATGGCTGTTCTAAAACCAGTGCAGAACACTCTTCTGTAACGTATTTTACGCAAGTCAGATAAGCAAAGTTAACTATGTGGAATTTTCTTATGATTTCAATACTATTCTAATTACTTTTTTTATATTCCAATCATATACATTGTAATGACTTCACACAAGTTAAACTGCATTGTTACCATCCAAAATAACTAGCAACACATCAAATAAATCACTCTCATAAAAGCACAGGATGAGACCCTACTTGAAATCATTCAATATAAATCTAGAAGAAAATATGAAACTAAAGACAATAAAGAAAAATTAAAGCCACTGTAATCTAAAATGTGGAAGAACTGGGGATTTGTTTTTCAGATGGGATACTGTAACACTGATTTGTAAAAGAAAAATAACTGTCTTCTCCCAAGACTCACCATGTTTTGGATTCCTTTTCAATCCAGGCTGTTGCTGGGGAGGTGGAGGTGGTGGGGGCGGTGGAGGAGGTGACTCTCTCTCATGAGTTATTACCCTGTCAACTGAGCCATATATTGCCAAGGTCAGACAGTTGTACCACCCTCTAAGAACCAATCCATCTGTGTTGACCTGTTGGTTTTTCAAAAAAAAAAAAAATGAAAAATAAAAGCACTTAAAACAACTCCAAAACAGTTACTCTAGCATCACTGTATCAGTATCTGCATAAAAGCCAAAAGAAAAATCCAACATTTTGAAAACGGAGCACACATTAAACACATCAATCATTGCAACAAATGATCTTTCTCTAAAAGCATTAAATTCCTTGCAGTATATACATTGACTAGATAGATCCCTAATCTACTACAGCAGATTAACAAAAAAAAAAAAAAAACCAAAAAACCAAACAAAAACAAACAAACAAACAAAAAAAAAAAACCCAATACGAAAACCACAAGAAAACTCTAAAGAGTATCTAAACTACAAGCAGGTTTTAGGATAAGGTTTGAAACAAAGAACACTTTACACACCACATGAAACCATATTTACAGTGCTAACACAGCACATGAAACCATATTTACACCTAAATGACAGATATGCAGGGAAAGAAGAGGTTTAAATCTCACTGCATTACCTTTGCATTGGGCCTGAAAATAATTGAAGTGTTTTCATCATATTCAAGGCTGTTAAATGAAAAATACAAAGTAATTTCTCATTAATATAAAGCAGAAGTAAACACAGCAATACTAATCACACAAGCCAACAATAAAACACTGAACAAATAGATACAAGAAAGAAAAATCACTTCTTTCTACAGAATTCTTTGCATTAATATATATGGGCTCTGTAAATCTAAAAATAACAGAAATTTTTCTTACTTTAAGAAAAGTAAGCATAAACCTCTGTCCTTCCACACAGATCAAAGGAAAAGGATAAGAACACTAACTAGCAAAATCCAAACCAAATATGAAAGTCATGGGAGATACAGGATTTTCTATGGCACATTCTCTGCACTATAAAAATTTTCAGGAAGAAAAGGTAGATAATGAAGTCACACACTAATCTTGAAGGAACTTACCTTCCCAGCCGATCAAAAACAGGGGCACTTGGTTTGCTGACATTGTTGAAAAACAAGTCCAGTTGAAATGAATGGGGGGAAGTCTCTCTAGGAACAGAATGAAAGTAAAATCAAATTAGATGATTTCTTTATCAGAGTAAGCAGGACTACCAAGGAGAAGACTACCTGTTTAAGAAACACCCCAAAATAATTACAAGTTAAGCAAACACATAAATACATTTTACATTTGTATGTAGGAAGGTCTATTGAGAGACAAAAGTTCAACAAAAAGATAAGAGGAAGCTTTTCCTGAATCTGAGACCTGGTATCTGTCACTTACCCATAAGCCCTGTTGTCAGGCAAACTTGTGTGAGCTCTCACTCCTGGAGGAATGACTCGGACTTCATTTATGTAAACCACGCATGGAAAACGAACCACATCAATGTTGGTACTTTGCTACAAAACAAAGAAGAAGCAAGGTCTAGGAAACGTAAAACACAAACAACATAACACACTTGTATTCTCTACTAACAGAACATGTTGCAATCTTAATAATAAAATTCAATTCTGTAAAATGCTAAACACTGATAAATACTGTTACACAGAAAAATAGAGTTTTTAATATAATCTCAGCACTTTTGATATATTTAACACTATTTTTTCATAGAAAGTGTTACTAGTTTATTTACTTAATTTATTACCTTTATCTGCAAGGATTTTAAATAGTAACATGTTGTTTTTTCCAGACAGAAAGTATGCGTGATGTAATTCTAAACATTAGCAAATTTCATATTTCAAATATAATATTAAAAATTATAATGATACTGCAATTCAGTACATCTGACTTACAAAACTAAGTACAAAAATCTGTACAAAATTTCCATATGATCTTTATTTTTCCAATTTTGTAACACCTGAAAACCTTTAGCAAATATCATTTCTGTTTACCACACAGAAACAGCAAGTATAAAGAATTCTTCCACTCTCCAAAAAGATGTTTGAGAAAACTAGGAAGTTATCAAACTCAGTGACTTTCCATGTAGCAGCTACTAGATAATTAATGGTGGATGTCTTCTCTCACTAAATTCACTGCATTAGATCACATTACATTTATCCATCATTTTTATCATATATATGCTCATAAAACATATGAGCAGTACACATATATAACTTCATGTTCAACTGTAAACATATAAAGATTTTCCTAGAAGGAGATCAGAATCACATTTCCAATTAACAAGCTGAATTAGCAGACTGATAGGAAAAAAACACCCAAGCCACTGATCTGTCTATTAACACAACTAAAAAATTGAAAATTAAAAAACAAGTTGATCTGCAGTCAAAATTTGTCTCCTTCACTACAATCAGAAAGCAAATGAAACCAGCAGAAAGCAAGTACTAAAATTTTTAGAAAGCTAGTAAGCAATGAAACAGAACAAGTGGAGTTTTGAAAACAGCTTTTAAGAGATGCTTTTAGGCATGTGTTACTGTCTTCTAAAAAATCGATGCAGACATTTTTTAGCACACAGTACAACAGCCTGGCCTGTGGGCTGATGTGTTAGAAGCTGGATTGTGGAACCAAAGGAATCCTGCTAGGACAGGGAGCGCAGACACAGGAACAGGAACAGGGTGAGTGCAGCCTGCATGGAGTGAGGGCTGTGGGAGCTCATCTGTGCCTCTAAGAAACATCTGAGTCATGCAGGAGACAGATTTCTGGAGGAAGGGCTGCTCTGGGGAGCTTCATCGCCAGGAGCACCACCCAAAAAAAGACAAATTCCTCTTTAAACAATACTGGATTATGCCCTGACAGCCATGCATCAACATCACCAAAACAGCAAGTGAATTCAACCCACTTCTACAAAACATTTAAAAATACCCTACATCAGAACTACTCAACAGCAGTCAAACTGCATAGCTAAGCCAAATAAATAATTTTATTCAAAAACACAGCAGTACTTTTCAAGAACTGTAAGTTCCAGTGCAACACTCACAATCCACGAAGTGGAAGAATTAGCTTTGTTCTAAGGCTTTCAAGAAACACATAAAATACCTAAGCTTCAGGTTTGGACAATGCCACTGGAATGGCAGTGACAGTAAATGAAAGTGACAGTAAACGATTTTAGAAGATTAAAAATGTTCAACAAGAGAACGTAGGGTCCTGGAGAGGAATAAGAATGCCTACTGTTTCTACCCAGGGGAACAGTGCTGGGTAGCACTCCTGCCTAACATTGTTTTAAATAGTGGAATTAAAACCATGTTTGGGCCTAGCTGCTCCGGACAGCTAGAAGACTCCTGAATAACGTTTCAATTGCATTTCATTGCAGCATGAGCTCAAAATACTCCATTTTCTTTCCCTAATGCCTATCCATGAACACAGTCCCGTTATTCTATGAATTTGAAATGTCTTTGTCATGTTACAGTACACAATCACTTTTCCCCGAACAGCCCCATTCCTCCTCCCTGAACAGCACATCGAGCTCAGCCCCAGACAAATCTGCTGCAAGACCAGCAGTTTCAAAGATGCTCAGGATCCCAACATCCTCAAAGTGCAATATCTGCACGATCTACCACTGCCAAAAAAGCTTGACATATGCATTTTTTGTAAAGCGAATAAATCTAAGGGAACACCTCACAAACACAAAAATATCCCTCCACATCATCATCAGCTACACAAGAGCATCAGGAATCTCACAAGCGGCAGGGCATGGCACTCTAGTCGACTTCTTCCATTACATCGCCTTCTCGAATCACGCTTATCTTCTTTGTTCTCCGCTCGCCTCTACTCCCGGCCACCTCTAAATCCCCGCTGCTTTCCCACCACCCTCCGCCCCCTGCCAGCAGCACCTCGGGCTGCCAGGACAGCGGCTGGAGCAAGGCTTCGCGTCAGGCGAGGCGGGAAGGAGGCGGCAGCCCCCTTTGAAGGCACCGGCCCCGGGGCTGCTCCTGCCCGACCGCCGCCGGGGCCCGCCCCAGCGGGGGTTCCGCACTCCCGGGAGGCCCCGGCGCGAGCAAGGGGGCGCCGGCAGCAGCACAGGAGAAGGGAGAGGAGGTGAGAGGAGAGGCGGACCCGAACCCCGTTTTACCTCCGCGCTCTGGTGCTTGAACGTGTCCAGGAACAGCAGCTCGGTGGCGGCATCCGCCGCCATCTTGGCCGGGCCGCGGGGGACGCGCTTCCGGCGCGCGCGCGAGCGCTTCCGGGCCGCGCGGGGCGGGGACGACGGCGGGAGGGGCTGAGGTCGCTTCTCTCAAGTTCGTGAGGCGCAATTCCTTTCAAATTTTCCGCAGCGCCAGACGTACCTGTTTAGCATCCATTGCCATTCTGCAACAGCAATCAAGTTGGACAAGCACTGGGAACACCACGAAGCCAAAGCCAGCCCGTGGCCAGGAGAATGATGTGGAATTAATCTTACGCAAGCGGTGCTGGTTACACAAGTTTTCTGTACGAGCTCTATGCCTGACAGCAAAGCTGCACCTTGTGCCTTTGGAGAAAGCTGTAAAAAGATGGGTTACATCTCTAGATGGAAATACCTCAGCTAAATACCTGCACTTTCCTTAACGGTGATAATTAATTATCCCTTGCTATCTGCCTCTTGTGTCTGAAACAACTGCTTATGAAATACACTGGTTTGTGTGTATACCAGGACTTCACAAGCCCCTTTTTTGTTCCAGTAGCTGAGCTTGCTATTCTCTCAGCACTCCAAACTTCCACCTAACACCAGGAGCAGCAGTCCTCTAGCTGTACTCCACATGAAAATGTTGCATCACTTTAAACAAGGCTGTGGTTCAATGTATCCATTTGCAGTGGTGAAACTAGTTCAGGAAGTTCCCGTCCCTGCAGCACGTGTTGGGGAGCCGGCCACAGCATGCAATTCCCCAATGAGTTCTACTGGCACACCTGAAGAGGTGTTTTGTGGCAGTGCAGGGATACTCATTAACTAGAATTTCTTCTCAGTTCACTGAAAACATGGGTCTTCCTCATGCTATTTGAACACATGTAGTTAAAGTACAAATCCCTTGAAAGAAATATTTTACAATCTTAAAACCAAGGGGCATCCTTGGCCATGCTGGCAGATTTGCCTGCTGTCATTCTTGCCTCAACGTGTATCCTGTCTCATCCTGATGAATTACCAGATCTAAACTCCTGAAGTAAAATACAATATGTAGAAAAGAAGAAAAACCCCTTTGTATGTATTTTATTAAAGTAGCACAATGCCTTTTGACACCTGACATAGCTTGTTTTGATTACATTTGGGGCTCTTTAGAGATTTCTGTGTGGCAGTGGCTTTGCAGCTACTCCAAATGTGGGCATCACTGTGTGTGCCGTTGTGCCAGAGGAGCGCAGTCCCTGTCAGATGATTCCCTGCTGGGATAGCCTGCAACAGCACTGCAAACAGCTCAGCCAGTGAGAGGCTTTGGTAACTGGCAGGGGAATTCCAGCCCTGCGCGTTTATCTGCAGTGACTCCCTCGCTGCTGGGAACAGCTGCAGCTCTGGATGTGAACAGAATCTGCTTTGCAGGATTCCATTTAGATGGCTCTGAATGCAGTGTCATTGACTTCAGCACATGGCTGGGCTTACAGGTCAGGCATTTCCTTGCTGCAAGAACAGCAGTGCTTGAATGTCACACACAGTTGCATGATATCATGGAGCAATTTGTGTATTTTGGGGGGTATTTTCTCCACTGATGAAAGTGGATTCAACAGAATTTGGTTAGGAACAGCAGTTATCTTAGAGACATTTAAAAAAAAAAAAGGTGGCAAACACTAACACATTCCAAAAAGAATAATAGAGATGATTCACCAATTTCAGTTGTAAGAAGTTGATATTCTGGAAGGAAACCAGGGAAAAGTGATACAGGTGGGATACTTGTCAGAGGCCAAAGGTCTGTGTAGGAAAGGATAACAGTTACAGGTGGTATTGGGATGAAAACCCTTCTGTAGAGGAATAGATCAGGGCAGGAGATGCAGAACTGGCAGAAAAAATCTGGACATATTGAGAAGTGCAAAGTCACAGGTTGTTTGTTTGTTAGGAAGGGGATTAATGGGTGAAAGAAGGAAGCTTCAGAAAAATGGAGGAAACAAATAAGAGGACAGATGATTCTCTTGCAGTATTGGGGATGGGGGGGTATGAGCTCCTTGGCAAGAAGAAGGGTGTGAGTTGTTTCAGAACTGTCCTGTTACAGTAAGTGGAACAAAAGGACACGTAGTGGGAAATCACCTGAACTAATACAAAAATGACAGAAAAACGGTTACATTGAGATTGGCAAACGGGCTGGGCAGACAGACAGCAGGCAGGAAACAAAAGGATTGCCAGAGAGGAGATGAGTACAGCAACAGTGTGCTGGGAGGAGCCCTGAGAGATCGATTTGCTTCAAAGCACCCCAGTACCTTCGTGCAGATAACAACACCCATGTCATCTGGAAGGTGACACTTCATGCAAAGACTATGCTTAACCAGTCCCAGGACAACAGAATGGCCTGGGACAAGCAACTGGAATGGGAGTGCACAAATGCCAAGAGCCTGGGCAACACAGCAGAGGAACCTGACCAACTGGTGCATGTTGTTAGACCAGATGCTGCAAGCATGCAAGAAAGAGGGTAGAATGGGAACTGTGACTGGAAAACAGGTGTTTTAGGGAATGTATTAGCCAAGAAAGAGAAAAATAAAAGGTAATGGTTCTACAGTGGCAATTAGTGACAAGCAGCTTCATAAACAAATGAATAAATGCAACAAGGGTTAGCCAGTAACCCAAAAGACATAATGGGAATTCAGAATACTTTCAGGGTACAGTTTCACTTTTGAAAGGGATTACTGTACATAATGCAGCCTGCTGTAGCAATAATTTGGGGACTCTCATGCTCCTAGATGGACAGAGACATAGGATGAAACAATGAGGCAGAAGAGAGAAGAAAAAAGTGCATAAGCCAGAATACAACATATTCCTAGTAAAGGAACAGGTGTCCATCCAAAAATCATTCTCACAAAGACAAGGGCTGCATCTCAAAAGCTGGCACTGAGAAAGAAACTGCCTAAGAAAGATGATTAAGTTTCACTGAAAGACAAGCAGCCAGCCAAGCCAGAACTCTCTGTCTGGCATGCTCCACTGTGAAGTAATTTCAGAAACATTCTGGACTTTTGTACTAAAGTATAAATGTTTTTTCTAAGAAGTTGCAGTAAACTAAGACCTGAAAGGGAAACTGCACAAAGAAATCCTATTGAATCTTTCTGCTCCAGGCTAAGCAGAGATCACTAAGCAAACTCCCTGTGTGAGGACCAACTCACTCCTCAGATGCTGAGTACCCATCACCTGCAGCCACTACTGAGGACAAACACCCCAGACCTTCACTTCACAAATGTTTTACTCCGTGCATCAAAAGCTGGAAGACAAATGCACAAAGAAAAGCAGGTGCTCTAAACCTCGGACAAACAGGGTACAATTATCTGTTTACTGATACTGGATTCACATGAAAAATTTCAGCTACTGCTTTTAAAAACTGGAGGGATTAATTTGATATTTGAAGCCCTTAAATTGCAGTCTCTGCTACCAGTGAATGTAAATTTTGAAATCTTGGACCAGAGAGAGTGAAAATTACTCGAGCCATCGTGTGTCATGTTGGAATTTGGTAGCAGCCCCGACAAGGAGAACCAGGCTGCACCAAACCACAGTAGGGCAGGAAGAGGATGCCAGGCACTATGGAGACAAGTCAGTGGCTGAGAGGATCCCCAGCAGTGGTGAAACACACCTGCTCCCTTCCTGACAAACAAATGTGTTTGTGCTAATAAAAGGTGGTGCAAGCTGTGAACCTGCAGCAGTATAAGAAATAGCGATGAAGAAACACCTTCATCGAAATGTCCAGCACACAGCTGAACAACCAGCTGACATGATGGGTGAGCAGCTGGCTCACAAGTCAGGTGCAGAGTTATAGTGAATGGGGTGACATCAGGCTGGCAACCTGTCACTAGTGGGGTTCCACAAGGCTCCATCCTTGGAGCAGTTATTTTCAAAGTTTTCATTAAAGACTTGGACATGAGACTCAAAGACATACTAAGTAAATTTGCTGACAACACAAAATTGAGAGGAGCTGTCAATTCCTTTGAGGGCAAAGAGGCCCTGCAGAGGGACGTTGACAAATTAAGAGAAATGGGCAATCACCAATCATATGAAGTTCAACAAAGGCAAGTGCAGGATTCTGCATGTGGGATGGGGCAATCCTGGATGTACGGACAGCCTGGGGAACGAGAGACTGGAGAGCAGCTCCACAGAAAGGGACCAGGGGATCCTGGTCAGTGGAAAGTTGAATGTGAGTCAGCAGTGCCCTGGCAGCATCAGGCACAGCAAGGCCAGCCAGGCACGGGAGGGGATTGTCCTGCTCTGCTCTGCACTGGAGCAGCCTCACCTCGAGTATTGTGTAACATTTTGATCATTGCAGTATAAGAAAGATATAAACCTCTTAGAGAGTGTCCAAAGGAGGGCCATCAGAATAGTGAAAGGCCTTGAGGGGAAACTTTATTAGGAGCAGCTGAGAACAAAGGAGGAGATTGAGGTGAGACCTCATGACTGTCCTCAACATCCTCACAAGGAGCAAGTACATATCTCTTCATTCTTGTGACCAGTGACAAGAACTTGAGGAAACAGCATGAAGAACTTGAGGAAACAGCATGAAGCTGAGTCAGGAGAGGTCTGTTAGATATCAAGACAAGGTTTTTCACCCAGAGGGTTGCTGGGCACTGGAACAGGATCCCCAGGGAATTGGTCACATCACCAAGCCTTCATTAGTTCAAAAAGCATTTGGACAGTGCTCTCAGGCACATGGTGTGATTCTTGACGTGTCCTGCACAGGGCCAGGAGTTGTACTCAATGATCCTCATGGGTCACCTTGTTACCTATTTCCCAACCTGGAAATGAAACTCAAGATAATTTTAGTAAGGAGGTAATATAAAAGAGGATCTTTAATGAAGGCCTTCAGGGGCAGTTATGGAAAATGTCCACAAAAATTCACCGCCTCCAGGGATGAGTACATTTCTATAGGTTTTAGGAAATTAGCAAAATTGATAAAAAGCACTAATTAGAAGGACAAGCGGTGATGCAATTCTCCCCCAGGTCAAGCCCTTTCTCTGGAGCGCCTCCTTCAGCACTAGTTGTACTTTGTCCATGAGAACGTATCTCGAAGAGTTGTTCTCAGCCTTGGTTCCCAGGAAGAACCAAGAACCAGAACCACTGGGGCCTTGTACCCCCCGGGGCTTAGAGCTCTGGAATTTGTTTTGTCTTTCTGCTTAGAGAAAGACCATGGAAAAGCACTGGGAAAACTATCTACTAATTCAATAGGTGACAGAGTTACAAATATACGTGTGAAGAACAAGGAGAACATAGGAAAAAAGAGCAAAACCCAAATGGCATCACCCTCTAACTCAGTATATTCCATGAGTCTGCGCTCTCAGTAAAAATTTCAAGAAGCACCATCTCAATGAAGTTGGAAATTAACAACTGACGTCTTAAAGAATTAAGTATATTACAGGATTTCCCTGCAGACAGAAAGTGTTGTTTACTCTGCATTCTGTGATTTGTCATGAAAAAAAAAAAATAGTGTTGGAGAATAATTAAAAAGGAGATTTTAAAAAGGAGATTTTAAAATAGAGATTTCACCATAAAACAAGAGAGATTGTCAAAAGGTCCAAAATCACCAGCTCATCGAGGGAAAGCTGCGACAGCCAAACCAGCCAGCTTTAAACGCACGACTTGATCCGCCGTGCCAGGACCATAGAGAAGCTGCGATGCCGCTGCTTTAAGGACGACAGAGGAAAAGGCTTTACCGCCCTGAGCCCCTGGTCTCCCTCGGAGCTGCTCCCGGGGACAGCCAGCCCGCACGCCAACACAGCGCTCCCTGGCACCACACTGGCCCCTCCGGCCCCCGACCAAAGCGGGGGACCCGCCGGGGCTGTTACCAGCGGCGTGGCCATCTCCCCCGCCCTTCCGTCCGCGGGACGGAGCTGCCCGAGCAGGGCAGGAGCAGAGCTGTCCTCTGCGACATGTCCCGGCAGGACCGGGCGATCCCGCCCCGTCGCTGAGGAGTTGCACCATCCCGGGGCAGCGCACCTCGCCGGCGGAAGGCGCGGCTCGGCAGGGTCCGGGCCACCGTCGGGGCACGCTGAGGCTCCCTGTCGGGGCACGCTGAGGCTCCTCTGGGCCTCAGGGCTGCTCCTCCACCGTCGCGTCCCCGCAACATCTCCGCAATCCCGGCCCGCGCTGGGCGTCCCGCCCGCAATCCCGGCCCCGCACTCCGGCTGCCGCCCCCGCCGCGCTGCCACGTCCCCGGCCGGCGGGGCCAATGGGCGGCGGCGCCAGGTGTGTGTTACCTGCACCACGTGGGCCGGGGGTGGGCAGGTGCTGCCGCGGCCCCGCGCAGAAAAGCTCGCAGCCATTGCGCCTTTCCCAGGAGTGCAGTTAGTGTGGGAGCGGCTAACACCCACCTCGGGGAAAAGGGGGTGGGAAGCAGGGGGAGCCGTGCGCCTCCCCCACGCCAGGTCCTTGGGGAGTGAGGCTACAGCCGGGGGTTCTGCCGCTTGGGTCTCGCTTGGAAGCGCCTGGGGCAAGGAAAGTTTTCGGCTTCTTCTCTTTCCCCGCTTCTTCCTTTCCTTCTTTTTACCTTCTCTGCTGGCCCGGTGGCACGATGACGGCGTCTCCCGACTACCTGGTGATTCTCTTCGTGACCACGGCGGGCACCAATGGGGCAAGGTTGGGCTCAGACGAGCGAGAGCTGCTCCAGCTCCTGTGGAAAGTGGTCGACCTGAGGAGTAAGGAGGTATTTTCACCCGACGGGGGAGCACCCCGACCTGCTGCTCCCCTTGGCGCCTGCCATGCTGGATGCGGGCAGGGCGGTCTCGGCGCTGGGCTGGTAGTGGGTGTCCCAGGCTGGAGCAAGCTCTGGTGGAGGGTAGGGGCTGGTGCTGCAGGTGGGGACTTTCAGCCCGGAGAGCTGACTCACCCCCTCCTCTGCTTTCTCTGGAGCTGGGGCACCTGCATGACGTGCTGGTCCGGCCTGACCACACAGAACTGACGGCCGAGTGCCAGGAGATCACCCAAGTGGATGTGGAGAGCCTGGCACTGGCTCCACCGCTGGAGCAGGCACTGAGACAGGTGACACCCCATAACTGGCCGCTAAGTGCCGGTCTCCTTTGGGAGCTCCCCCGTGGGGTAGAGGTGGTATCATCGTCTGCTTATCCCCACCATGAGAGCAGTGGAGCCTGGTACAGGAGCACCACAAACAAGTGTGGGCCAGGAAGCCTAGGGCTTTGTGGGCCTTTCTCCTTTTCCTTTTCTTTATTGGCCTTGGGAAGAACTGAACCTCAAGGGAGGAAGGTTAGGGTTAGCTATTTCCCTACCCCACTCTCCTGCCATGCTGGCTCCTGAGTGAGTTTCAGCTGAGGGTGAGCCCTAATCAGTGTTGGAAGAAGCCAGATTTAGGTGTCCCCTGTTAAGGTTTGTGCTCATCAGTCCTGGGAAGGTGATGGTACTGAAGCCTCTAGGTTAACAAGGAAGTGTGTGTGATTCCTATTGAGGAAATCAATGGGCTGAAAGCCTGTCTTTCTGATATGTTTGAGTGCCCCATCTAAAAAGCTCTTCTGCCCCAGTACTGCCTCAGGTCTTTGCAATCAGCTTTGTCTCATTGCAATGCTCTTGCAAATCTTGAAAAGGATTTTCTTCTGTGGTGTGGGCTGTCTGTGTAGCCATATCTCATTAGAAGGGGGAAAGGGGTGGTTTCCATCTGAAGAGATTTATCATGGAAGTTAGCCTGTGCTTAGCTAGTAAGAAACTAACCTACAGAAGTGAAGAAGTAAGTTTATATGAAAAAGAATTCCAGCTTTGTGTTCCTGCTGCCCAGGAATAACATGTTACCAAATGATGACACTGCCTAGTGGTGCCACTCTGATCTCTGTAACATATATGTTTTTTCTTGTTCCTGCCAACAGTTTAATCAGTCCGTGAGCAATGAGTTGAACATTGGTGTAGGTACTTCTTTCTGTTTCTGTACTGATGGACAGTTGCACATTAGGCAGGTTCTACACCCTGAAGCTTCCAAAAAGGTATGTAGTTGTAGCTTAAGTCTTACTCTTAATGTGCTTTTTTACGATTTTTTGCAAAGCAAATCAACTTCTCTCTAGTATGAGGGTACCTCCACATAACTGTAGCACAAACATTGCTCGTATGTAGTGTGCTTACGAGGCTAAAGAGCCTGTCTGTGTGGAATGTACACATAGACAGGGCATATACAGTGCCCTGTCCCTATGTGGTCTTGAGATGCCTTTTTAAGTTAAATCAGAAGGAAGAAGCTTTTAAATGTTTGAGAAAGGAGCAATGTATTGACAGTACTTGTAGCTTCTACAGAGTTAACAGGTGGGATGTGGGATTGTTGCTAAATAATTAACAATCTTAACCATAAACTGTTTTTAGAAATTTTATATTCATGCCTAGTTATAGCAACTTTCAATCTTTGGGTATTGAGTTGACGCTCCAAGGGCGGTGCTCGTATTTGTAAGGAGCTGAACAGTAGTGTGATGCAGGCTATGAGTGATGATTAGTTCTGTAGTCTGGAGTTTTCCATAGCTTCAGAGTTGCCAAATCACTAACAGTGTTATGAAGTCCTGCCTACTTTTCGTTAGTGATAGGGTTGCAGCAATATGTGAGTCTCTCTGGTTCTGAAATAACTGCCTCAATATTAATAACACCTCATTTTGTGGTTTGGTATGAGCATGCACTGCTCTGTAACTGAGCTGTTCTGCTCCTCTCATTGTACCTGACTTCTGTGCCCATCAATTTGCTGCCCCGTCTTTCAAGGGACACTGCTGCAGGTCTGTGCTGTTACAAGAGTGATACTGAATGAGCTTGTAGTACAAGTACAAGGTTGTAGTACTTGTTTGTGCTTTAAATATTGATAACTTTGAAGGCTTAGAAGAGGAACAGTGAGCACTATTCACAGTGAAGGGACAGTTCTTATATGTGTAACTTGCCTTCTATGACGTAAAACATGAGAAAATGTGGAAACAGGTTTTTAAAAGGCTTTCTTCTTGCTAATAAAGTAAAACTTGTTATCCATTTAAATTATGTGAGTAAAAGAAGGGACACATCCTACAATTATTTTAGTTGGTTTGATGTCAGGGATCCTTTTTCTGTATCATAACAGGGTCACAGACAGGCATCAAATCTTTATCAAAATCTTCTATTGCTGTTTTGTTAAGAATGTTTCATTTGAAATTTGCTTTGTACTGCCTGTAGATTAAGTAAACTAGATGCTTATGAGACTTGTAATAGTTTTTTGAATATCCTAATGCAGGGATTGCAGTGTGGGATCACTAAGGTCCAGATAGGCAGAAATCTCTAGGCTCTTGAAGTTATTTATTTCTAAGATATCTATTCTGAAGCCATCTAGCAGCTCCTGGTATTCAGAGAGTAAATTTGCATCAGCCATTCCAAAAGAACATAAATGAAGTACAGAACTTCATTTCACATCAAGGGAGAAAATCATGCTAAATCTAGAGCAGGAAATGTTGGCAAGCCCATCTGCATTTTCATAAGTCTTTAAAGAGTATCGTTTGCCTAATACACCTGTCCATATGCTAAGATAAACTCTGATGTTCTCAAAGCAGAATTTGTTTTAGAGCCTAAACTGTGTTCTTTGGGCTCCCAAAATGTGCTTTCACATAGGCTGCTATCTGTTATAATGCCAACATGCTAATTCATTGTTAAATCCCAGAAAGCCTTTATCTGTAGCCTGGAAAGGCCTTGCAGGCAACAAACAGCCAGAAGGAATATGTAGTATTCTGTCTGGGGTGAAGAGCTAGCTGAAGGAGTAAGGGTTTACATTGGCTTTAACAGCTGCCCCCAAGACTTCTCCATGTCTTCTCCTTTCCACTCCCAAAAAAATTAGAAGCATGTGGTAGATGTAGTGGTGGGGCAAGAAGAGATTCATTGACTTCTAGTGGGCTGCATAACTTGCTTCTGGCTTTGTATGCTGCAGTTAAAGCAGTTACCATGCATAGGCTGACAACCTCTGCACCATGTCAAACCCTCTTCTGCACAGTAGATTTTTTTATTTGTTAGAAATAAATATTTGAAGTGTGACTATTCTCTGAAAACAGCCTTTTCTATAAACTATCTGCTGGTCTTGCAAAATTTGCTTAATTCTACAAACTGAACTGACTACCCTCTGGCTTTAAACAGTTAAAATTTCAGTCAAGAATTGATGATAAATGTTGCAATAGGAGGCATTTGTTCTGCTACATATATATTGGATTTGAAGCTCTAGTATAATGGCAAATGTTTCTCTGGAAGTACAAAAGCACATTTCTCTTATTAAACAGTGTAAAGAGAAAGCTGTTTGATTAAAAAAAAAAAAGTTTAGGAACATACTTACCTGGCTAAGAAGAGTTATGAAGAGCAATCTGTAGCAAGGATTGTTTGCATTTCCTATCTATTCTAAAGATATTGTTAGAAAGTTTAGTATCTATACACAAAGTAGATTAAACTCACCCTAACTGACAGTGGTTACTTTGTTCCTTTTACAGAATATTTTACTACCTGAATGCTTCTACTCCTTTTTTGACTTGCGGAAAGAGTTCAAGAAGTGTTGCCCTGGCTCACCAGAAGTGAGCAAACTCGATGTTGCAGCCATGGCAGAATGTATCCTTTTAACAGTGATGGTGTCTCTGCTGCTGTTAGAGTCTTGGCTGAATTTTAGGGCAGAGGTGTATGAGTAATGCTTGCAACACATGTTTAGGGGTGGTATAACTTTAATGAGTGACTTGGAGCTGTACTTAGTTTTCTCACAAAGATAAAGATAAAAGCATATGAGGATTAATGCTTCTATGGAGAAAATCCTGTATTTCTTCTTGATTTCTGTGTTTTCTTTGCCATCTTTATATTCATCTCACACTAAACTGTGAAGTTTAAAGAAAGCGGCACTTTTTTTTTTTTTCAAATTGCTATTGTGAATTGTAATATTAAAGTTTAGGTGTTGAGTTTTATAGCATCAGTTAGATTTTTATTTTATTTTAGGCAAGAGTGAATGTTGGGAGACCGCCTTAATTTTCAGGAGGAGATGGTTATTATTGGTGTGACCTAGTGGTAAATATCTAACACAGGGATACTGTTGCAACACGTGGTATTCAGTCTCATAGAAGGTGCACATGCTACACCTCACAGGGTGAGGCTTGGATGGCACCAAGATGCAGTCAGTAGTATGTTTCCATTTTCAGTGATAGGGATGTCTAAAACTGCATTCTGAATAGTCTGAAGGGGTCTGTAACCCCATCCTGTCTGGCTCTTTCCTAGTCTGAACTTGAGAGCTGAAGCTGTGATTTGGCCATGCCTTCTTCCCTGGCAGTCTCTCTTCTTGGGGCAAGCTTCAGTCCTTATCCCAGATATATTCTTGGACACAGAGCTATTGAAGTAGTGGTCCCAAAAGTCAGGTATCAAGGAGGAATAAAGGAATTTGTCTTTGGAAAGGAATAAAGATGTTTGTCTTTGGTATTGGTGGTTGATGTTCCTGCTATTGTTTTTATTAACTTTTCTTCTGACTTGCTTATTGTGTCCATGGAGTGGCTGCCATTAAGAGGTGATGTCTGTGGCTTCTGAAATTTTTGGGCTTTCATTGCAGAACTAGTATTGCCTGGCCTTTGTACCTGTTGGGGGCATAAAATATGGGGGTGGATTTCTGTGTTTAACCTTTCTGCTCTGCTTTAGCTGCAAATTAAGATTAATCTCTGTTAATGAAGGGACAAAAAGTTATTTCTCCCTATATTCTGAAGGAAAGCAGTACACTTAGAGTAGGATTCTGAATCTTTATGAAGAAAAGTGAAATAAATGCTGTGTTGCATTGAAACTGGATGATGGAGAATTCTTAAAGTTATGGTCAAAAACTTAATACATTGTTTAAGGAATGCTTTGACATGATCTGGAGAAATTAAAGACAGTGAGCTACTTCAGCTGTTTCAGAGAGTTGCCCTTATTTTCTCCTTATGTGAATGTCTGGGGTATGCCTTTCCACTGTGGAAGGAGTTGTATGACTGTAGCTAGCTGGAGTGTCACTGGTCAGCTAGGGCATGGTGGAGGACTGAGTATTCCCTGCCTGCTGGGAGAGGGAGGCAAACCACCCTGTGTTACCTGACTGTCACGAAGTCTGCTGGTAGTCAGGTAACTGTCAGGAGTTAGAGTTAGTGCTGCCTGAGAGTAGTTTTGGCAATTGCCAATAATATATTCTCCAAGTTCCTAGAAGTTTAGTCGGTCTATCCAAATGTATTCAGCTTGAGTCCAAGTTCAGGATAAGATATGGTTCTTAAGGTATATAAACCTAACTTCATTCTGGTCTTGCATTTATTTTTGTGGCTTATTTTGTTTTGTAACTGATGAGGCTCTTATTTGTCAACTTGGTATGTTTATGCAACATGGTTAAAATCAATTGTCTCTCCCCTATCATTGTGTGAGAGTGTGGCAGCAGAGGATGCAGAGACCAAAAAGTGTAAAACCATTTTTGTTTTCTTTTATTGACAAATATGATAATTTTCTTTCTCCTCACCTTGCTGAAATGTATTACCTTAACGTCCTCAGTGTCAGAAGCTGCAGAAGTTAACTGCCCTTGTAGACCGTGTATGTGATGTTTAGGATAAAAAGATTGTTTAAGCAGCCTAAAGACTAGTTCCATAAATTGTGTGCAGAGTTGTTTAGTTCTTCTTCCTTCATATAAGGTTATGCTGGGGTGTGGACACAAGAACAAATCAGAAATAAGTACAGTAGGTTGAAATGAAGCTGCAGATTAGCACATGGAATCTGATCAAGCTCTTTTTATTCTTGTAGAAAGTGCAGCTTCTTGGCCTCACAGCTAAAGAAGGGCGTATGAATCTTCCATGATTTCTGCCACAGAAACTATAGTGTGCCAAATACATCAGCATTTGGTGAGGATGGAAGGTTTTAGTATGGAGCTAAGGTAATGACTAGATATTCAAGAGACCTGCATTTAGAGACTGGTAGAAGCAGGAGTAGAATAATTTTTGGGCACAACCCTTCATGTACTTACATCTCTATTTATATGTGTATAGCCTGGTTGTGATCAGTAAGAGGAAACTTTTATGATATGAAATAGTTAGGAGAAAGCTGGGTATTGATCTACAGTCATTGAAGTTATTAAAGTCTTCAAAAACTTTTGTTTTGATGGGTCACTTTTGATCAAACAACAAATTACAGGCAAATGGGGAATGTACACTACTGTTCCTGGCTGTCAGGGGAGGTAAATTCCTACTGCACAGTCATTTCCAGATAGACATTTTGGTATACTGCATACTGGATTGTAGGGGCTTGGCTATGTATTTATTGCAGACAAGGCAAGCACAATCTTGTAAAAGAGTATAGAGATAATAGACTGAATAACTGGCTGGGTTTTTCTTCCTTTAGAAAGTGCTTTGTGTACTTACTCTCTCAGGAGGCTACTTGGAATTTGTGTATAGCAATGAAACCGTGACAAACTGAAGAACTCAGGTGTAAGCTTTACAAATCTTTACTCCCAACCCCTGCAAGAAGTTCTGCATTTCACAACAAACAGCCACTCATTTATTTTAGATAAAGGTAAAGCAATGTTTAAAATGCTGTGAAATTCAAGGGACCAAGGCAGAACTAAGACTAGTTGTAATTATCTCTGAGTACTACTGCTGCCTAACTCATGGTGTCAAAACAGTTCTTGTGTATGCGACAGTTTTCTGGCAGACTTTTTCAGAATTGTGTAAGTGTAATGACAGCAGGACAATTATGAGAAATTTTGAGTAACAAAACTTGAGGGAAGTGATCATGTTCCAGCAGAGAAAAGGACTTGGGTTTGTCAACATTTTTTTTTAATGTGTAAGCATACAAAAGGAGCAGGGTTGTTCTTGCACCCTCTGTACCTCCCATACTTGCTACACTTCTTGATTTGCAAAGCTTGCTGAGCCAGTTTTTACCCTGTGAGTGCCTTCAGGGTGGAGTGAATAAAGCTTGCATGACTATTCCTATTAGGTTTGCAGAAGACTCATCCTTTGCCTCGAGATTGGGTGTGCAGAAGCTATTAAATGGCAAATAGCTCTTGCTTCCTTCAGTGCTCGGTTTGCTCCATTCACTTCTGAACTGGATGTGTGAGGAGAACTTCTTCCTAGGAGTATTTTCCAGTGTTGTCAGTAGAAACTCGGGGGCACTACAGAACAGCTTGTTTAATGCACTGGATATTGTAGTACTGAAACTTGATTTTTTTTGTTTGTTTTTGTATTTTTACCTGGGTGTCTTGGAAACAATGTGGAGCACAATTATAAACAATAGTGCTTAACTCTGACAATAAAATGCCCATAATTGGGTATTAGATGAGAATCTTGGATATTGCTATTTGTATTTCCTGTGATAGTACTCAGAAACTGGGTAATATTATATTACCTTTATGCAAAGCATTATGTGGAAAGATGTAATCTTCTGTCTAAAGGGACTTAAATAAGAAACAGAACAAAGGGGAAATGATCAGAGCACAACTGCAGTGCTGTTTCATGTCATCTCAGGTTAAGTTAGTTATTCAGTGAGAAAGGAGTTAAGAGACAGTGGGAAGGAATAAGTCTTGGAGGACACTGGCAGTGAGTGAAGCTGTGGTGATACATCTGAGGAAATAATTTAGAAATTTCTTCAATGTTAGAGAGGCCACTCTAATGTAGAATATACCTTTCCTTCCTGCTCCCTTTAGCTTGCTGAGTGTTGCAGGAGGTGGTACCACAGCTGCACACCAGGATGAAGTAATTCCTTGTTTGCTATCCTGCCTTATTTGGGACTGTCTTTTGCTTGTTGCTTCATTAAGAATATGCATGTGGATGCTACTGCATATATTAGCTCTGGACAGCCATGTCTGGTTTCTAACACTTCTTTAAATGTGAACTTGCATTATCCCCTGTAATTGTCTTCCTCCAATTGCTCAGAAGAAGGATCCCTTAAATATAAATGTACACAAACGTGTCTGGCCTCCTATCCCTTCACAGAACAAGGAATATAGACTATTTCACTTATATTTTTTTCCTAACTACCATAATTTCTAATGCTGCTGTCCATAGGTGTCTACCTCTGTGTAGTCAATCTTGTTCATTAGAATACAGATTTTTACTTAGCATGTTCTTTAAACATGCAGAAAATGATCAGTTTTCTTCTCCAATCTTGCCTAAAAGCTGTGCTTCTGACTAATCAGAGGGGAAGGTGTGAGGTTATGCCTGCAATAATGTTGATGACTTACTTCCTTCCCTCCACTGTGTTTGTTTCTCTAGAGTTTGGCACAACTGACTCCCTGTGTCTGACAACTGGTACCAGCTTCTGTTGGCACTAGAGCATTTTCAGGAACTGCTTCTGCTGTGGACCAGTGTTTTCAGAAAACAGTTTCACCAAAGAAAATTATTATGGTGTGGGGTCCTTGTTTGTTTTCCTTGTCTGATGGTTTCTCTTCAAATTCCTTCCCTTTTCACATTTCTGCATTCCCCTCTCTGAATGCTGATCACTTGTAAGGATCTTTGGCTCAGCAAAAAGGAAATATTGAAATATCTTTTCAGTTCTGACAGCACAGTCTAACAGCCAAGCACATGTGTATGCATGTCCCCTGATGGAATAGCTATTGAAACTCCTTCCCCATTTCTCTTGATTTTTGACAGAGGAAACACATTTCCAAAATCTTCATAAAACTTGGTCAGGAAAGACCAGGGTTCCAACACCTGCACCATCAGCAGCCTCTGGTTCCCTCAGAGGCTCTGCACAAGCCCAGTGTGGACCTGTTAGGTGCTACAGGGGGAACAGTGTCAGGAAAGGGAGGAGGAGCACTACTCTGCCCTGATACACAGGGTGCCCAGAAACATCTGTGTGGTGCTGCTTACACACCCTCTGTCAGAGTCTGTTTGTGGGTTATTTTTCTTTCCAGCCCCCTCTTTCTGGGGGCAGAGGAGGTAGTGAGCTTGAGCTTGTTTAAAGCTAAGGAAGAAAGACTGATTAAGAAATTTTTTGTTGTCATAAATAGTTGTAATCTCTTAAACCATGCTTTTGAGTTGCTCAGGCTTTTTGCCTTGGTTTTTAAGAAAACTATTTGCTGTTCACAGTACTTTACCCCAAAGAAGGTACTAGGAGGAGGGTAAAGGCAATGACTAGGAAACTATTTATAGTGAAGCAGTTGGAGGGTAGGAATCACTGGTTTAAGTATTCTGATTTTTAAATAAGAAAATTCACTTAAGCTTCAAATCTTCTTCTAAGACTAAGCATCATCCTCTCACATTCCATACTCCAATGCACACTTAAAACCAACAAAGCTTCAAAATCAAATTAGCCTGAAGTGTATTTTGTTGGCACAGCAGCTTTCCTTTCCTTGCTGTGGAAGAGGAATACATTAATTCAGTTCAAGTTATTTTTCATCTTGTAACAAGACAACTGTTACACAGCTTTCTAAAAATCTGTTTCTGTAGGATGTCTTGCTGTCATCCTACAAATAATAGGGAAGACCTTATCTCACAAAGAAATTTGTGGTGGCTCACCTGTTGATGAGATGATACAACAAAGCTGGTATGAGGTGTTTGTTTCTAACAGAAACTGTTCTGTTCCCTGCACTTCATGTAGGCATCTGACAACTCAAATGTTGCTCAGCTCTAGGTGGAGAAAGCATTCCTCTTTTAAGAGGAAACCTGCTATCTTGGACTATGAAGCAACCTTTGAACAGCATAATGCAGGCTCTGGAGCATTTGAAATGTGTTTAATGTAGTCTGGGAGGCATGTGGACAAATAATTGGTGCCCTTGGCTGTTTTCAATGTGTTGCATTATTGTACCTCCATGCCAGGATGGATGTTGTTTAAGAAACTCTCACTTTTGCTCTGAAGTCTTGATGCTAACTGAAAGTGAGTAAAAAGTGCAACACTTATTCCCAGATTTCCTTATTTTTTGTTCTGTTCTTGATTACATTTTTTTACCCTTCAGTCCTCAAAGAAAATGAGTGGGAGACTTTTTAAAAAATTTGCTTCATAAGTAATGGAGTAGAATTGCAAATAATCTTTCAGTCCTGTAGCCTGATGTTGGAGAGGGGCAAATATGATGAAAAGCAGGAGATACCATAGTGAACTGTTTACAGTTGTCTGAAAAATTGGTCTTTCTAAGGCCTTCCAGGGACAGGATGCTTCCTGCTCTCTATTGCAGTCATTTCCAAAATCCTTTGGTCTGAATCTATGGGTTGTGGGGCTCTGTTTTGCCTCTTGACAAAACACATGACTGGTGGACTCTCATCAGAGTCTCAAAATGCTTCTGTGCAACAACACAAAACTTGAGTTGTAACTTCTAATAGGCAAGGTTTAGACAAGGTGTCACTTATGAATTTTGTTGAAGTGGTAAGATTCTTGTCTGCTTTGGGATTTAGCTGGTCAAAAAGCATGTGGAACATCCCTCCATTTCTGGAGCTTTTAGTGGATAGTTTGCTTCTTCTCCTGCCCTAAATCTTCCCCTGAAGATTAAAGAGGATGTTAATTAAAGAGAACATGGCTCAGTCTCTTCAACATGCAGCAGTGTAGCTGTCAACTGTACATATTGAAGACATGTCCTTGTTATGGGGTCTCATGTCCCCAGACACTCTCCAGTGACCTTACACTCCCGCAGGTGGCAGTAACTAGAGGCCAAGGCAGAACAGCTAATGTATCCCAGCAGGAAGATGGATTGAATCTTCCCCTGAGAAGCAACATACAAGGACAATATGAAAGTGTGTTGCTCTAGCAGGAAACCAATTAGAAATCTGTTTGGTGATGATTGACTTAACTCCAGCATAAAGATTTAAATCTTGACAAGAACAGTCCAGCATTTCCCTATGGAGCCTCTCAAGTTGAAGATATGGGGAATATAATTTTAAAATTAATATCTGAACCATACAGTAAGTGATTATGATGAATGAGGTTTTTTTTGTTCCTTTGGTTTTACTGCCTGTCCTGTACGTTGACAAAATAGCAAATAACTTGTGCTGTATTTCATAGATCACCGATTTTCAGATCCAGAAAGGGTGAACTACAAATTTGAAAGTGGGCCTTGGTAAGTACTTCCTCTTCTTGTTGCACATGTTTCAAACCCCACCACTTTTTGTTTAAGATTACTGTTTAGATCAGCTGTACATCTCTCTTCCTAATTTGCCAATAGCTGTTACCATTATATTTATTTACCTTCCCACTGCTATGGGAATTGATTAGATCCTTCAAGTGGGAAAGGGAGCAGGCAATCTATGATCAGATGCAAGCCTGTTTTCTTGTTAGACTTCAGTGCTGCCTGTTCGCTGTTGAGAGTTCTGAGTTCTGCTAATAAGTGCTTATAATGGGTAGTAAGTGTGTTGTGCTATTAACAAAGAATGTAAGCAGTGTTTCAGAAATAACCCTATTAGTTACTAACTCTTGCACTCTTCCTGCAATTTACTACATAGGTACTGCATATACATAATTTTTTTTTTAATAGGGAAGGAACACTTTCATGAAGATATTGTGCCAGGAATACTATGCTACCACTCAGTTGTTTAATCTATGGTGATTCTTATTCCCAAATATGTTTTAAACATAAAGCTTTGATGCCTGCTTTGTTGCTTGGGTAGTTGGTTTTGGTTTTTTTAGTGTAACTGCATTTTTTCTATGTGTAAATACAGATTTTTCTCAGTGGTTTTATCAATGATTTCTCTGCAATATCACAAGATACTAGTGTTAAACTGACCTTATTTATATTCCCATCTTACACAAATACTTCCCTCTTTCAGATTAAGGATCTGTCATAATGGTAGATGATGCTTATACTTTTGAGTCAAAAAAGTAAGAAAAAATGCAACATTGGCAGAAAGTATCCAGAGACATTAGCTCAGAGGCTATGTTCAGCCTTGTTCTAAGCTTTTTTCTTTTCACTAACAAAATTCTGGGATGAAGTGGAAGATTCACATTGTATTTCAGATAATGAGAAGTACAGAACTAGGAGGCAAGGGAGAACAGTTTGAGACAGACAGCTACAGAAAGGCCACCTGAGAAATTAAAATGTGAGTGAGAAACATGACCCACCAGGCATACCACAGCCCTTTTGTACAAGGGAGTCCTCTACTACTGAGCAACACTTCATCTACTTAATCATTTAAGCTCTTTCGTGCAAAAAAAGTTGTTCCTTCGATAACCAGAAAGGCAGGCTTGGGTAGCTGTGAGGTTTTGTTGAACTTGACACTTTCAAAAAATAAGAGAACATAAGGAACTGGAGTAATGACCAATTAAACCTGGCTTTCTGTGGCTAAGCTATTCCCATGCTAAGCAGCCAATGTAACCTTTAGCTATGTTAGTCTCTAGTAGCACAGTGATGGCCTCAACCAGCAATGTTAAGGCTTGACTCTTCAGGCCAGAGTCCTGTGTGTGCTGACTACAGCCCTGAACAGATTTGGTCTTGGCTTGTGACTGGTTCTTATACACTGTCACTGTAGAAATAATAAGCACTAATCTCTGTTACATCTAATTGTTCTGCTTAAATTTCTACGTAGCTAGATTAGAACTGCAGGTACTTGATTTTTATACCAGTCACCCTCTTCAGATAATGGAGAAGCATGAATGATGTCAGGAAAAGGAACTTAATTGGGAATATGATTCAAGAGATGACAGCTCAACGAGTAAATGTGATAAAGCAGGAAAGGGGAACTTGGAAAGGGGCAACTTAACAAAGCAAACACTCTCTTGGAGAGACTTGTACAGTAGCTTTCAATTGTTGGTGGCACTTGGGCCTCACTGCCTTGGCATTGCTATCCAGCAGACATAGAGCAGGGACAGAAGCCTGTTTCTGGAGTATAAATGATAAGCAGACAGGTTGGTATGTGGCAGATGTCTCTGCATTGCTACTTCTTTCTGTGCCTGCAGCAGCAAGATGGAACTTGTGGATGACAATGCTGTTATCCGAGCAAGAGGATTGCCGTGGCAGTCATCTGACCAGGACATAGCGAGATTCTTCAAAGGTCTAAATATTGCCAAGTTAGTAGTGAAGAATGCACTTGTACATTTGTAGCTCTTCAGCTGCGTAGGTCATGGAGTTTCATCTCTTCATTTAACTCTTGCAGAGGAGGTGCTGCACTCTGTCTCAATGCCCAGGGCAGGAGGAATGGGGAGGCTCTTGTGAGATTCGTAAGCGAAGAGCATAGAGATCTAGCACTACAAAGGCACAAGCATCACATGGGGAACCGATACATAGAGGTGGGTGACATGCTGGGCTTTGAAATCCTCTTCTCAAAATGAATGCAAATTACATGCCAATCACATGATCCTTTTTTTTTTCCTTTAGGTATACAAGGCAACAGGTGAAGACTTCCTTAAAATTGCAGGAGGTAATTTTTAGGGGATGAAAAGGGATGGTTTGTTCCATCAGCATCTTTAACTTTTGGCTGCAAACTGCTCCTGTTGAATGTGGCCCTTTTTTCTGTCTTTGAACAAGAAGTTGGCTGGTGTATTGATTATTATGTATTCTGCTAGCAACAGTCCAAGGTGTTCCATGATTTATCTGTCTGCCTCTCTTCCACATTCCTGCCATTTTCAAGCAATCTGTCAATCAGGATTTGATTGGGCAAAGTGATCTTGTATATGAACTTAATTTTTAGGTCATCTTCGTGATAGTGGGAATCTAAATGCTATTGATTGCTGAAAAAATGAAACCAGAGTAGTTTTAAAAACAATGTAACTGCTGTTGCTGTGGAGGCTTGCACATAAACAGATATCACAGTGTAAATACAATGGATTTATTGAACTGATTTTCTTCAAATCAAATATTTGCCTCAGACTTAATGGGGAGGATTTAGAGGAAATACTTATTTAAGGGGAATCTTGAAATATTTGCTGATAATTGAGAGGCTGCAAAATTTGCTCTTCAAACTCTCTCTTGATCTCTTTTCTTTCCCCTTTGTCTGCAAGCATACAACATTTGAATTAAGAGCCAATAAGCTGTTTTATCTGCAATACTACTTTAAGTTTCTCATTGCTTCCTGACTGAGATTTGGGCTGAGGCTTGTAATTGACTAACTGGAGATCTGAGGCTTCAGATGCTCTTAAGCTATCAACTGCATAGCAAACTGATAGGTTTGGAAGTAGTTATGCCATTCAAAGGAAAGACATTGCACAGTGAGCATGCGTGAAGAATGGTGCATCTGGTACAACCAAACTTTGCAGAATAAGAGAGCTGTAAGTGAAAGGACTGTATTAAGATATGAATTTGGTTAGCAGCTACCTTTGAATAAGGTAGTGTTACTAGCATCACTGGTCTTCTGAAGGTACTGAAAGTAGAATTATCCGACTTTGACAATTCTGTTGGGATAGGATGAAATCCCTGAGCTGTTCTCAACCTGCTCTTCCAGCTTTCTTTCCCAGCACAATGATCTGGGCACTTGGTTGCCATATATTATGGCTCCAGAGTATGCCAGTTAGACAAGGGGCACAATAGCACAGGTCCTGCTCACACAAGAGATTGAGATTGTGATTTCCTTGAGTTTTGAATGTTGCAAGTACTTTCTGTTTTTCCTTTGAATGAAGATCAATCTCCTCTAAATGATGGGTAACATTATTATACTTTACTGGGAGGTGTCCTATACAATATATCTAGTTTATCAGAGGGTTATCTTTACTGACTTTACAGGCAAATATTGTTCTACCTGCTCAAAAAAAAAATCTGTGGAGAGGATGTAGCTATGCTCATGATTTTTATATACTAGACTGAAGTGCTTCTGTATGTTTTCTTGTTAAAGGTACTTCCAATGAGGTTGCACAGTTCTTGTCAAAAGAAAACCAAGTGATTGTCAGGATGCGAGGTCTTCCTTTCAATGTAACAACAGAAGAAGTGCTGACTTTCTTTGGCCAGCACTGCCCTGTAACGGGAGGAAAGGAGGGAGTCCTGTTTGTCACTTATCCTGATAGCAGGCCAACAGGGGATGCCTTTGTCTTGTTTGCTTGTGAGGAATATGCACAAAATGCACTGAAAAAGCACAAGGATTTGCTGGGGAAAAGGTACATTGAACTCTTCCGGAGCACTGCAGCAGAAGTTCAGCAGGTAGGTGCAAACCTTTCAAACACTGGCTTTTTGCAGTCCAAACTTCTGTGCTGGCAGTAGAGGAAGCAAATAATGGTGGGCCTTGACTTGAAAGCTTCTTTTACCTTTTCTCACTCTTGTCTCTTGATGCAATGAGTATCGTCTGAATTTCTGTGAGGCGTTGCTCCCTTGAAATGTAAGATCTTATGGTATAGGGATGTTCTCAGTCATATACAAACCTTTGGGGTTTTGGCTTCCAATAGCTTTGTAAAATGTGGATGTGGGTCTTGTGCTTAACACTATATATTCTGAATTTGACTAAGTCCAATGATGATCTACTCAGGAGTGTTTAGCCACAAATCTTGAGCTAAAAGATTTATCTTTAGTCAGTGACACAAAAAAGCAAAGCCTTTTGATGTAGTTCTCCTCTCCAGTGTAACATATCTGAAGAATTCTACAAATTGTTTTTAAGGGCAGATCTCTGCCATCTTCTGCAAGCATAGGCTACCTAGCAGGGGTGGCAGGAGTTTGAAACTGATGAGTCTGGCTTAATAGGGCTTGGTGGACCATTAATTGCAGCTAAGCTGTCAGGGAAAGGAAGGAGAGTTGAGCGGACTGTTTAAGTCTCCAAAAATATTTGCAGAGCTTCAATTGAGGTAAATACCTTTTAGAATCACGTCTAGCCATGTCATTGTATCCAAGAAATTATGCAGCTCTGTTCTCCCTAATATGTAGAGATTTCAGTTCTTTGTTTAAAAGGTGACATTACTGATTAGAAGGCAGAGCCACAGTGCTCACTGTCATTGCATTTTTACTTAAGTACTCTCATATGTTCTTTGTTTAGCAAAACCTTCAGATAGATTAATATTTATTTGCATTTATACAGCTTTCTCAGAAAGAGTTCAAGAGTAGTGATTGAATATTCAGGCAACTTTTCACCAGACAGTGTTTTTGCTGTTAAAATTATTAACGAGAAATCTCAGAGTGTTAAGTGTCACAGGTACCGTGACTCGGTAATGCTCCTAATGTTTCTTGAATGGACTATGGCAGGCACAGTTAGGGTTGTGTGGTAGTGAAATGTGCTTCTAGTTCCCAAACTCTCCTAAAGTTTTGTAGAGGAGATATTTTTGGATAAAAGTGTTATCATGACTCTGTAGGTGGTAGAATGTTTTAGGATTGTTTTAGGATAGTTTCACAATAAAAATACTGTAGATATACAGGTTCCATGTTCTAAGATCTCTATTGAGACTTGCATTATCTGTTCAAGTAAATTTCCCAAAGCCAAACTGTTTTTCAAGAAAAAAAACCCAAAATTTTTTTAAAACAATAGCATGACTATTTATTGTAGAGTGACTATAGAAGTCTGCTAGATTCTGAGCTTAAAACACAACACAGTGCTTAGAAATCAGGTATTTTACAGTTAATATTTGTATCTAGCTCATTTGTATCTTAAAATACTGACCAGAGTGAAAACAGGTGGCATTGGGATTATGTTTACTCCTTCTAAGTTGAAGAATGAGTAAGGAGGCTTCTGTAATCTGTTTTTGTTTTGCACAGGTGCTGAACAGGTACTCTTCCACACCTCTCATTCCTCTCCCAACACCTCCAATTCTTCCAGTATTACCTCAACAATTTGTGCCTCCCACTAACATCAGAGACTGCATACGTTTGCGTGGTCTTCCCTATGCTGCTACTATAGAGGATATTTTGGAGTTCCTGGGAGAGTTCTCTACAGATATTCGGACCCATGGAGTTCACATGGTACTAAATCACCAGGTAGGTAGGAAACATGTTCCTAGCCACTCTGCCAAGTGCTTGTGTATATGAATACAGTCCTGATGACATCCATAGGGAAGTACCTTTGGGACTAGCAGTAATTTTATTAATGTGCCTCCAGCTCTCCTCTAAAAGTGTACTGGCAATAGATTACTTGAACCCTGCTGTGCCAGCTGCTGCATTTGCTGTAGAGTGGTTTCTTTCACTGACACCTGTGTCTTAGCTTTACTGAAGGCTAAGCCAGTCTTGGAGTCATTGGTACTCCCAAAACAGCAGCCTGAGCTGTAGGAGGCTTGAAGTGAAGAGTCTTGCTCAACAGTGTGCATGATTCCTCTTGTACCTAGTGAGAAGTGCCATCAAAACACAAGTGTGGGCAATGTTAGCTCTCAAAGGAGTGGTTTGTCCCTGCCTTGCTTAACAATGTGCCACAAGTATATTTGAAGACAAATGTGACTGCAGCCTTCTAGAGACAGGAATTCCTATGTCAAAAGTCAGAAACTGAAGCTTTGGGTTTCCTGTGTTCTTGCTTTCTTTAAACAGTCACAGCTAAGCACTAAGATTAACAGCTCATTGATGTGTAAAGTGTCACATCTTTGCCATTGTTTTCTGGAAGCAGTTTCTACCAAAACCTTTTAGACAAAGAATTGTGCATTCTTGTGTGATTTCTTTCTATTCTTGTGACTTCAGGGGGAGGAGTCCTTCAACTCCATGGAGATGCTCTGAGTGGTTCAGTGGAACAAGCTGATTAAAAAACTGTATAAAAATTATGGTTCTAAAATTGTTTTAGCTTAAGCTGAATGTCAACCAAAACTAAAAAATACTTCCTGGTCCCAAGTAGGATTTCTGTGTTTCAGGAATATGGGGATGGAGAAGGGAAAGTAGTTATTTCAGTACCTGTCTATCTGAAGACATTCCTGTGTCTGTGGGAACTTGACCTAGACAAGGCTAAAAAACTGTAATGAATGTGTAGTGCTGGGAGAGACTGAGAAAAGTGCAGATATTAAAGCACAAGTAATGATTTACAGTAGTATCAGCCCTTGACAGCACTAATGAAAGCACCTGGATGAAGAAATTGGTGTGTGCAGATAACCCTAAGGGCTGTCTGCTACCCTTGCCCTGCCCAAAGCTATCAGACTTTTTTTTCTCCCCAAATACTGCTTTTGCCTGATTACTAGATTTTTATCTTTCTCAAAGTTCCCAGGTTTCAACCCTCTAATCATAAAAGACTGTGTAAAGGATGCTGGTAATGTTGTTGTTCCTTCCAAAACAAGAAGGACTGGCCCCAGAACTTGAGTTAGAGCCGGCTTCAGATCTCTCTACTTTTGGCTACTTCAAATCAGCAACTGCATGTAGCTGAAATAACTCCTCCCAGTGGTGTATCCCACTCATTTACACATATAAAGAGGTTTTTTTTTCTTCTCTGCAAGCTCATACCAAATGTTCGGCTAGTTAGTACTCTACTAAAACATCCCAGCCCATGTTGGTCTTCAGGAAATAAAATTTAAAACATATTGTTTAGCAATGAGCACTTGACTGTATTTATCATTGAATTTTAAAAATCACGGGTAATAAATGGGGACTAGATCTTCCAATTCTGCATTCATAGTAAATTTGTAAGAGCAAGTCTCAAAGCACCAAAGCACCCCTGAATTAGAGTCTCTCCCATAGGTTTTTTTGTTTTTTTTTTTAAGATATAAAGGTAAGAAGTTACAATTGTAGCTTAATCAAAACAGGTGAATAAATACAATCAAATTATCACAAGTGGGAATAACTTTAGAGAGGAGAGCTTAAACATGCTGATGACTGCTCAGGATGACTGACTGTACTTGACTTTGGAGTTTAATGTATTTATGACTGAAGAGACTTCTTATAACAGCTCAAATTATTGCTGCTCCTTCATGGAACCTACAGAAACATTTCCTTTTTGTTTGCCTTGTTTGTAGGGACGTCCATCGGGAGATGCTTTCATTCAGATGAAATCTGCAGATCGAGCTTTCCTGGCTGCACAGAAGTGTCATAAGAAGACTATGAAGGACAGATATGTTGAAGTCTTTCAATGTTCTGCTGAAGAGATGAACTTTGTATTAATGGGGGGCACTTTAAATCGAAATGGCTTGTCCCCGCCACCATGTAAGTTACCATGTAAGTTTTGCTTGGGTCTTGCCACTATGCTCTACACTGTGTGCGGGTAGGTATTGGAGCTGCTTTCCTAACTCTTGTCCTGATTCTTGGATAGCATTGTGAGATGGGGGTGTTAAAATAAGGTCTTGTGTCTTAAATCATCACTAGCTTGCAATCATTATTTTTCCCTTTGGTTGTAAATTATTATGACTGAAGAACTACTTTTGCTTTTCCAGTGGCAAATTTTCCCTCCCCTCCCTGAAACTTTAATTGGTTGGGGTGAGTGATGATTCTGAAAAGTAATTTCTAAGCCCTGCCTAGACCTTAAAGAACTGTTTTGTATTTTAACTGATCTATTAGTACTTTTTTTTTTGTCATGGTGAACATGTCAAGTAAAAGACCTACCCTTTTCACTTCCAAAACTTAATTTGAGAAACTATAGGTAATGCTCCCCTTTGAGACTTTTTCATGTGTTCTGCCTTTTGAACTGCAACTGACTGAACTCTTCCTTTACTTTTTGTTATTCATATGAAATGGAGGTTGGCTTTGTGGGAGTGAGGCTTCTGCCTCAGAGAATTGCAGAATCTGTATTTCCTTTTAAGTTTTGATTCTCAGAGCTACTAGGATGAACACACTTCTAGGCAAACTTTTGGGGGGAAATAGTTCAGGAGTTTAAGGACTAACTTGCTAAGCATCTGTGCCACATAAATCTGAGCCTATGGGAAAAGTAATACTTTGCTTCTAAAATCATAAATGGCAAGGTAGTCAAGTAGTAGCTTTCTCTGTGTCTCTCTATGCAAGTGTATTTTTTTTGGTTGTAGATTGCTTAAGAAATGGCCTCTACCTGCTAGTCAGAGCTGCCAATACAGCAGCAAGCTTCCTTTGGAGTGATTCCTTTTGAGTGCAAAGGCCTTCAGCTAATCCTTGGGGGAGTTTTTTTTTTCTTTCAACAAAAGTATCTTGAGCAGGGGTCAGCAGTAGACAGTCCTATGTGTGATGGCTGTTCCAGATGGGTTGGAACCTGAGAGCTCCTAGGACAGATTCTTGGGCAGAGTCACAAACTTTTGGAAACACACAGGTCAACATTCCCATTTCCAACTATAAATACCTGTGATGTATTCCTCAGATAAGGCCTTTTGGCCCTGTCATTCCACATTTTACAATACAGTGAGATGCTGGCTGCAACTCTGAATAGTAAAATTAAAGGCTTACTTTATCTAAAGCTGTATGTTCACTCCTATGGCAATGAGGAGGAGAAGAGTTAAGCAAAGGAGGAGGGTGAACTCTCATCGGTAGGAATTCATTTAGGGCCTAACATCTTGTTGAAACAGCACAAAGTACACTTTTGTTTTTTGGGTTTTTTTTAATTTAGTGCTAACACTTCAAGCTGCAAAGCCATGACTTTTCTCACTCTGCTGTTGATTAATTAAGGGATAAGCAGTAACAGGATGAAAGTCTTCTCTCTTTTGTTGAATGTTAAACAGATCTTTGTCATGGAAACTTTCTTCTTACTGTGCAGAAGTCTTGTAGTTCTTGAATGCAGACTTCATTAAAATTTGGGCCTAGACAAGCAAAACTGACCTATGTATCAGAAAGGGACCCTATTCCCAGAGCAAGTGTTTTTTTTTGTTTGTTTGTTTGTTTGTTTGGTTTTTTTTGTTTTTTGTTTTTTGTTTTTTTTTTTTGGTGTGTGTGTATTTTTGACTTTTCTGTAGACTGGAGGCTGGGTGTAACACTTTGTAGTCACACTCACATTGGTGGCTCACATTTCTTTTCTGTGGTGAACGAGGATGAGAAGGTTCCTGATGTACTGTGGAGTTGTGTGTATGTATGTATTAGCTCTGGAATTTCAGAGGTCCTAATCTATTTTCCATTTGCTCCCTGTAGGCCTTTCACCCCCTGCCTACTCCTTTCCGGCTCCTGCTGCAGTCGTGCCAACAGAAGCTGCTCTGTACCAGCCATCCATGCTTCTGAACCCACGAGCACTCCAGCCCTCCACAGCCTACTACCCTGCTGGGGCTCAGCTCTTCATGAACTACACAGCATATTACCCCAGGTAAAGCAGAGGAGAACCCAAGCAGCAACGAAGAAGTCGTTTTGGTTTTTTTTTTTTTTTCCTTGTCCCCAGCAAATGCACAAAATTCACAAAAGAACATTGTCTGCTCTGCTAAGGACTTGTGATACCAAGAACAGCTTGTTTGGTATCTTGTTCAGGGAAACAATTTCAGGATAACTAGGAATTTTCCAAGTTTTAGGGTATTGCAGGTAGCAATGTCTGGGGGACAGGGAGGCTGGTTAGTGTGTTTGTTTGGTTGTTATTTTTTTTTTAACCTAGGACACACATTTAAGTCCTAGGGATATTTTTTATTATTTTTGTTTCACCTATCATTCCTCTCAAACCTACTAGTTTTCTTTGTTAAGCCCTCAGTGGGAATTGACATGTGCAGTACTCTTTCCCATGTCCATAAAGAAGCCCTTGGTCCCTCTTTAGAATGGATGGGCTGGGCTCTGCCTTAGCAACTTCTGAAATACTGCCTCTTTGTGTTTGTAACAAAGTAACTTTTGACCTTTATGATGAAAACTGTTTACTTGTATGACTACATGTTGTGTTGAATGCATATGTAAAACATATAGAGGCATGTGTTCTTCCTGTCCTCAACACCTCTCACAAAGGGCTTTTGGTTCTTCTGGATGTATTAGCTATCTGCTACAGAACAAAATCTCTGGATACCTGTTGCCCTCTGCAGTCATGAGGCCTTGGAAGGAGCCATGTTCCCTTTAAGCCATAAACCATTTCTCTGGTAGGAAATCTGCTGAACAATTCAAGTTTTTTATCTCTGCAGCAGGGATCAAATAGCTACTTAGGAAGCTGTTAAGCAATATGAGCACTTCAATACCTGTAAGATAACAAAGGTTTTCTTATTACTTTATCTATATGTCTGTGAAATGACTGTTGTGGATTTTTATTAAAATGTTTCCTTCACTCATGAGTTACTTTCTATAATGCCTTCAATATCTGTTTTATGGTTATGATATTACCAAACTCAGCCTTGTTAATGTAAGATTAAGAAAAATAAAATTCCAAACTTGCACTGGCAATATAAAACAAGGTTCTCAGTAACAGTTCTGTATTTCATGAAAACATAGTAGCAGTAATAGTCTGTGGTTACTGATATATTTTACTTCTTAAGAATAGACTGGCCACTGCAGGCTAAATGTCATGTCCTGGTGATTTCCCACTGAATGAGTTCCCATGGGAGTTTCATCACTGGCTGCTTGCGCTGTGGGCATATATGTTGGTCACAGACTGATCAATCCCAAGCCCCAAAATACCCTTTTTATATTCTTGTCTAACTGGCAATGTTCACTGTTTTTAGGAAACCATTATTACATTATAGTTTCTCTGCCAATTACAAATACTGCTCTTTTAAAGAAAATAAGGAAAAAATTTCTGGACCCAAGCTGGCTTCTTTGTTGTGAGATTTGGTGTTTAGGTATTGCTTTTCCATCCAGAATGTTTGATCTGCAGACAATTTGTATGTACTCCAATAGAGGTAGTGATTCTTTGTAGAGGATGTTTTTGGGGTTTGGTTTGGTTTTGGTTTAGGTTCACATTTGTTTGTTTCTCTTGTTTGTTTGTTTGTTTCTCTTTTTTTTTTTTTTTAACACTTACTGCTTTTCAGGCAAATTCCTGTGCTTTATCCAGGATGCAAAAAATAGTCCATTTGAAGCAGCAATCAGAACTCTCCTAAATGTAGCTTTCTGAAGTTTAAGTCAAAAATTAGCTATGTGCAGCAGGAAGAATAGGGTATCCTCTGTACTAAGTGTTCCATTTAAAAGCACATCCAGGAAAAGTAATATAGAGCTGGTTGGTAATGATCAGACAATGGTTCATAAATCTAACTGGTGAATATTTATGGAAATAAGGAAAACTTCTTTGAGCTGCTGCCAAAAGCTTCTACAGCTTGTGTTTTGCAAGGTCAAGTTGCTTTATAATAGTCCAACTCCATTTTCCACACAGAAATCAACTTAAATGGTGAAAAGCAGGGAGATATTGTTTTGGTTTTCAGTACCTATCAGATATCCTGGAACTCTCAGACTTGTATTAATGCTCTTACAGCTTTGGTGATGAAACCAGTGGTGTAAAGAAATGGATGCCTTCTAAGCTATTAAAATAGCTTTAGTGAATTCCTAATGAAAAGGAGGGAGAGCAAGTTATTCAGGATCTGTCAGTCTTTGATATCACTGTTCAGCTTGTAATTATATCTGGCAACATGTTCTGACAGCAAATCAGTGGTCTTGCTCTCTGCCTAGTCCCAAGCTTTTAAGAAAGAACAATAGGATTCATAGGAAGGAGGAGTTTCCTTTATCTAATCCTAGGTGTACTAGGTGCTGTGTGTACACTGGAAATAACTGCTCTACTTGGCAGTTGCTAGCACATCCAATAGAAACTTTAACTGTATACAAACTTGAAAGCTATTGCTACAGGGTAAACAGTTTTAAAGCAAAGTTGAATCTTACTGTGTTTATTAAGTTCTGATGCTGTTTTTATCACTTTTAAGCAGTGCCTTTAAAGCCTCAAAAGTATCTGTCAAAATCCATACATGTAGTAATACATTTTTGCTTTTTTAAAAAGTATTTAAAATAGCATAGTGAAAAGAAGAGATTCTTAATTGTAGGACTTGTAGCCAAAACATGATATGGAAACTGAAACTTGGTGTAGGTTCAAACAAACTGGATAAATTCCACGACAGGAAATTCATTGTGAGTTAGTGAATACACAGAAACCACACCTGGCTCAGGAAGTCCTTGAACTCAAAATTAGTGGAAGAGCATTCTTGTGTTCTGTCCCCTATGGTAAATTCTTGTGCTGTTGAACCAAGGTGGGTAGGTATAAACTTGTTTGTTCACACCTTTGTGGGACTTGTCTTGAGAGATGGGTGCTGCTTGAGAGTGTGGGTCTGTTCCAGTGTGTTTGTCCAATAGTGGCTAATCTGGGGTTATCTCTCTGTTGGGTCAGTGTGTACAGTTCTCTCCATTGGAGTGGTTTGAGTTAAAAGGTCTTTTTATGTGATAAAGGTGTAATTCTGGCACTTGCTGCACAGGGAAATATAGGGTAATGTCTTAGTGTTTTCATGTCTGCTTATGTCCCTTCCTGCTCTGGATAAGGTATGGGTTTTCTCATCATACCTAGTAGAAGTATATACATCGTAACCTTGTAGAAGTATATACATGTGCAACATACATATAGCAGTAATATTTATGTATGCATACATGCAGATGTATGTGTAAAAGTAAAATGACCAATCAGAGCACTAATCAAGGTTAGAAAAAAGTCTTACTTGTGCTCTGTGATGAATCAGATTCTCCATAATGATCATCATGGGAAACAAGTGAGTCTTTGCTAACCTTGGTTATTGCTCAGTTTCTTATTGAAGCACAATTAAGTCACAGGGAATTTAAAACTGGCAAACCTAGGAACAAGTGGGCGATACTGTTCAGAGCTGCTGCCAGCAGCTTTGTTTACACATCTCAGTGTCTGGCTAACCAGCATCACTTGACAGAACTGGGTTAGGAAACAACCATATGTGTATTTAGCCTGGGAGCTCTGTCACAGATGGAGAACAGCAGCAGCCTGAAACAAAACCTCTTTTAGTTGTACTCACAGCATCACATCAACACTCTGGACCACATCTCTTGAACTCTTGTGATTTTGTTTTTATTATTATTTTTATGTTAAGTATGTCAGCTTGGATTGCTGAAATCACATCTGCAGTGATGGGCTCACTGGATATAAAATCTTATTGGTGGCTTTTAGTTGCTGTCCAGTAAATGGAGTTCAAATGTTTTAAATAAAGTGTCTGAATTTGGGACTCCATTACCTGTCCTTGTTCTGTTGAGCTGCTCTCCATTACGAATTTGTCAAAATAACCTTAACTCTTTAGTTAATGTCACAAATTTGTCACTAGAATGATTGTTTGGGGGGACACTTAATTTTTCACTTTCAAAATAAATGTAGCTTGCCAAGGATTAGAACAGCAGGGATGCCTTTAACTACTACCATATTTCATTGGAGGAGGAGTGCATTAGCAGGGAAGACTAATTGTTGCATGCCTCCATAGGCTGTCATTATCCCTTCATTTGTAGGTTTTAATTAGTAAAACTGCCATGATGTGTGAAAGCAGCAGAACAGTAATGCTCTGATCAACAGCTATCTGGATATCAGAACAGCAAAATTATTTAAATTAAAAAACCAAACAAACAAACCAGACCATTCTTCAAAGCTGGTACATCTGTTAAAATGTTGTTGCTGGTAGCAGTGTCCAAGTTTGTACTCAGCCCACCATACAAAATGCTGCCATGGAGATTGGTGGGGACTTCTTCCTTTTGTTTCCTTAATATACTCAATGACTTGATTTTCAGGTAGCAGCTCTTACTGTCATCTTCTGACTGTTCCCCTGTTAACTGGTAAAACAATTGGATTTGTATGAGGGATTAATTGTTACAGCAGCATTGTGTAAGCTTGCTGCAGAGATCAGTATGACTATAGTTTTTCCTTTTGTCTATTTACAACACAGTTCAGTGGTGGGAGAGAAGATCTGCCTGTTGTGCCTGAAGGCATGTGTGTCATCCATGCAGGTGGCTTTTTAAAATACTTGCAATGATCTCAAATTATTCATGGCACCAAGGTACATTGCTGGATGCTTCACTTTATGCAGAAGCAGCCTTCTACAGGGGTGTTTTGGAAGTCCCAGCACTACCCAGGGCAGGCTATTGCAGTCTTCTGTGGCAGAGCTTCTGGATCCATTCCCCCTGCTTATTGTTGTCATGCTACCATGGCCTTATCCAGCTGGGAAGTTGATTTCAGTAGGCAGAGTGGGCAGCAGGTTATCTGGTTAAATGTGGGGAAGGTATCTGTATTGAAGGAGTTTTATTTCCAGGGATAGGTGGAAGGAGGGTTTTTTGAAGGAGGATGTTTCCAGAGATAGAGCTGGGTTGATCTTGGAATAAGACTTCTTGGATCTGAAAGCTTGCTTTTTTTTTTTTTTTTTCTTTAATTAAAATTCTGCCTTGTGGAGTATACATTTGTAATATTCCTCCATGATTATACAGTCATAGGGATCTAAATGTTTCTGTTTGATTAACAGCTGACCTGATGGTTTAGTGCTCCTACTTCTGCTATTTGTCAAATTATATAGCCTTTCTTTCTTTAAATGTGGATAAACATTCCAATCTTTGAACAGGAAAATTATTCTAGCTGTGTAAATACTTTTGCTAGTAACATGTCTTGTTGGTTTTTGTGAACAAAGTACCATGTTAAAGCTTTCAACTTTGGTGATTATACCACAAAATTTAGTATTAACTTTTGTATGAACCACTTCTAAAAAAGCTTTATACTCAAGCTGCATTTCCTCATGGGCAGCTTTCCAGTAGTGAACACTATAGACATTATGCTGTAAGCTTGTGTATACGTGCACATTGTAATCGTGTCCCATACCAGCCCAAGGAGTATTTGAAAATCCCTACCAGTTTCTGAAAAGATCTGCTCTTCACTGAAGTCTGGGACCATCTGTCAATTTTTGAGTTTTTCTGAAGGCTACTTGGTAATGTGTGTCCTTTATTTTTTCTGTTCCTCCTGCTGGCTTCAGTCAGAGGACCTCACTTTGAGGTGCTGCAGAGATGCTCTGGCTCTGCTGGTCTTCCTAGGCCTAGAAAAGAGGGGAAATAACTTAATCTTGAAACTCTAATGGATGAGTCTGACAGGTTCTCTTTCACTGCTAGTGCTCCTCTGAGTATTAGAATAAGTCTTACTTTGTATCCCTAACTTGCAATCAGGACCTGTCTTACAGTCCTGAAATTAATAGAAGCTGTTAATCAGTACCTTGATGAAAGGATATTGTACCAATATCTGTCACAAAGCAGACAATAGTTAATATACTTCACAAACAAAAAAAACTTTCAGGACTACAGATAAAAAATCCAAAGGAAAAATAGGGATAGAAAATGTGCAGGGAGAGAATTGAAACCTCTAGATGGTGTCTATGCACATATTTGTTCCTATGTGCAAATAGTGCTGGGTATGTTTGTGCTTCTCTTGAAGGACCTGCAAGATACTTGGCAGAGATCTGAAAAGCTGCTTGGTTATGTATGCTGACTGCTCCCAACTCACACCCACTTGTAATATAAACCACAGCTTCCTTCTGGATATTGGTATCTGTTAAGCAAATGTATAATGGAAAAACTTGTTAGAAAATCAGAAGAGACAGTGAACCTCGATATTTTCACATAATATTTTAGTGTTGAATATTTGGGATCCCTTGAGGTGTAGAAATGCTGCTTGAATGCCAACATCAACCTTTAGAACATGTAAAAACTTGTTCATGCATCCAAAACTGATTTCTGAAACTTAATTGTTTTATTTTGAGATTCTTTGGAGAATACAACAATCTCAGAAATACTGATTGGAAAAATTCCAATCCTGCCTGTTGAAGGATCAGTTCATAAGGAAAAAAGGTTTGCATTGGGAAATGCTGCATATCATATTTGATTTCAAGTACTAGACAAATATAAAAAGAGTTCAAGCTCTTGCACTGCATCATTATATAGTGGTACACACCTACTAAGAGCCACTGTAGAAATTCTGTCTGGCCTGATGTAAAACATGCAAGTATTAGTTCCTGAGGCTTGTTTGATTAGACAATGTTGCCTGGAATACTTGCCTTGTATGCCTGCCTGGACACTTTCCACTACATTTTCATGTGTCTTCTATTGACTTCTTTTCCATCTGGAGACATGACCACTCTAAGTCACTTGCTGTTGTTCCCCTAGAGGATGTCACCCCTCAGACTGGGCGAACATAGAATTGGGTGGTAACAGTCCATATTTTATCTTCTCTTAGGGAGTCAGAGCAGGTAACACCCTTAGCCTTTGAGAAAGGCTATGAAGACCTGAAAAAGAATATCACAGTTTCTAACATCTACAGATTAAATATTTTGGGCATAAGAAAAGACTTTTCTTTATTACTCCTGAACAAATTATGTTATTGTGGCATTAATATTGCTTTAAAACAAGACAAGCCTGTCCCTTTGTGGCACTAACCTTTAAAATCTGGCAGTTGCCATTGACCACAAAAGATGCTGCGTCTAAACAGCCCATGAAACATAAGTAAATGGAAGCAAATACTGCCTTGCTGGCAGCTGTGGGGATCTCCATCCCCGGGTGTATTTGGCAGATACTGGCCTGGAGCTTGCATCCAAACTGTGGGATGGGCATATCTGCCATGGATTCATATCCTTACTCTATAGCTACATTTAAAATAAAAAGATTGGAGACAGCATGTGATTACTATAAGTTCTAAAGCTGAATGGTGCACTGGTGGGGAAGACTTATTTTTGGCTTCATTAGTGTCATAAGTTGACCCCTGGGTATTATGTTTGAGAATCTGAGTAGTACAAAGGTGTATTGACTGTAGTTTTTTAGGAATTAGTATGACTATTAATGTAACAGAAAAGGCATGCAGGAAGTTATTAGTGGGAAGTGTTGTGATAAGTTTGTATCAAGATGCTTCTCTACAGCATAAAGTCTTACCTTCCTAAGAAAAGCTGTCTTTTCTGACAATAGGCTCAAAATTGGTGAAAATTATTACAAGTGTTGTCCTTGGTACCTGACTATCTCTGCTATCTAGTGGAACCACCAGTGAAGATGATGTCAGAAAGGTACCTAGGAACACAGTTGTGGGGATAAACAAGCATTATAAGCAGTTCCTGTGGAAAAAGGAAAAGCAGCTTTCTTTCTAGACATGGACAGCTGTTCCCTGTAGAAGCTGCAGTGTTAAACCACAGTCAATTTCATTCACTTCCTGAAACACCTTGAAGAGGTTTCTCTGAAGGGAGGCTATAAACATCTATATATTGTGTCCTGGAATGTCTTGTCTGCTGATTTACTTGTTACCTGCTGTGATGAAACTATTCCCTTCCATACTCTGCTGCATAAAGATGACTCAGGGCTTTGCAAATAATGGGAACTTGGTGAGGTCAAGACTGAAAACTGCTGAGGACATATGCTTGGGGGCAAATGTGCCTACTGGACTTGAGTGCCTCTGTAGCTTCCAAGAAGATGAGCTTGAATTTAGGGAGGTGGAATATAGGCTAACACTGTAGGACTTGTGTGGAGGGAGGACTCCTCCACAAGGCATCTTAGGACAGTAGCCTTTGGGCTAAATCTAGTCTTCATGAATACCAGCTTAGCTAAGGATTGAAACACCAAAGTAAGGACACAAAGGGAAGACTGATAGAGCCCAGCAGAAATTTTTTTATGATACTGTCATAGCCTTGGGCTGGGAGAGCAGAAGTGGAGGTCATCTGAGAGCTACCTCTCTAGTGGTTTGGAAAGGTTATCCCAGGTCTAAGGAATAGCATTGAAATGGCAATGCAAATGGTTAGGTTCTTGATGCCATGCTCAGGAGATAAAGCAAAGTTATTGAGGTAGCTTTGAGCAAGTATGAGCTCTTGGAGAAGTGAGTTATTAATTTATTTTTTACTTTCATAAAATTATAGAGTAAATAAGAGAAGCCAGTGACATCCTTCAGTATTAGCACAACTTCATGGGTAAGTAGTGGTCTGTGCAAATCTGTTTAGTAGTGAGCATGTTAACTTTTCCTTCAGAGACTTTGGGCATGTGTGGCTGTGCAGGAGGTGTTTGTCTCCAGGGACAGTCTCTTGAGGTCAGTCAGTTGGGGCTGCCAGAGTCTGGGGACAGTGGTCTCCAACACGATCCTGTGTGTACCCATGTGTTGTGCTGTTAGGGAAAGCTGATTACCCCAGTGTTGTTTCTGTTGTTGAATTGCTCTTAATGCCATGGTGGTGGGAGCATTATGAGTGTCTGATTCTGAGCCTGAACTTTGACATCTGCCCAGCACTTTAAGAAAGGTTAAGGTTGCATAGCCAGCTGTTGGCTCTTTGCTGCATTAGTTTGGCTTCTGATTGCTTCTATCTTAACTTGTGTTTGTAGTATGCAGCAGAGGATGGACTTGTACACACAAATGATGCGGCCAGGACAGTGTCCAAAGAATGGATTTGCATTTAAAAGCCCCAGCAGTTAGGCTTCCTTAGTGAAGGTAAGGATAAACCCCAGGAGACAGAGTTTGTAGGTATCCTAGTGTTTTATTCAGATAACCACCATACTCAACATAATTTGTCATTTGCTGCCCTGAGAAGGTGGCTATGCTTTGCTGTGTCCTGAATGTCACACTGCAATATGTAAAACCCTATGAAAGCCATAATTTAGAGGATTTTAACTACTCCAGTCATCTTAAGGGCTGCTGCTTTGCATGTTTCCCAGGGCTTCGAATGCATGCTACTTCAAGCTTTAATAGCAGTACTGAGAGCCTGCAGAAAGCTTCCCGGAGCCAGTTTTCTCTGTGGAGCAAAGTGTGGAGATGATGTTACTCTCCTAGCAATGCACTAAAATGGGGTGTTGGTTAGACAGAATAAGCCACTTTCTTAGGTAACTACAGAATCCAATGTCTAAGCTTCACACTGATGTAAAATTGTAGCAATGAAGTAGTTTGTATAATAGCAGCTACTCTCTTGCTTTTGTTAGCTTTCTGATCAGGCCACTTCAGCCTTTCAAGTTTGGTTTACTTGGTCTTCTGTATAGGAGCAGTCAAAGGGTGAAGTCACCCAGAAAGCATTTGTGCAGAAAAATGCAAGTTGAACTGCAAAGCAGTGTATTCATGGACCATGAAACTTATGTTGAAGTCTCAGAGGAAGATATAGAAATGTATTTGCAAAAAACGCTTTTGTCATCTCTAATCTTTGAAAAAAATACACAGTCAAAGAAGTGATTTGTTTTTAGGTTTTTTTTAATGCCCCTTTCTTTCCTCTATTCCTTTTTTCTGCTTTCCCTCTGAAAAATAGCAACAAAACTGTCTGTTTTTTCTAATTCTTCTGCTTTTGACACAGACAACTTAGCTCAGGGTCTAATCTACTTCCGGTCAAAACCTTTCCCTGCAGCATCACCTCACTGCCATCTGCTCCAAGTGCATACTTTTGCATGTGTATAAGTGACCATATCAGCTTGTTGTCTAACAAGCTGACCTTTGGCTGGATTGATGAAGCTAAATCCTGTCCCTGCAGTGGCGGTCAGAGCCATAATTAGCTGCTTAGTGGACTCCTGGCCTAAGCTATGCTACATCACTTCCCATCCATTTATTGTGTTGCCATCCAGTGACTAGACCAGAAAGCTTCCTCATCCAGCTGGGAAAACTCATGGGGTTTGTCTTTGTTTTTAGCCAGTTTACAGCTTAGCAGTGCTAGTTGCCTGTGTTGGCCCAGAGACAGGAAAGAAGAAGTGGCAGAAGCAGGCACTGAGACATAGGAATGGCATTGCCATGTTGGACTTAATTTTAAAGCTTTACCTCCAAAGGTAAAAGGTCATGTAATAGTGAATAAATTCAGATATATTCTTAGTGCAGCACTCTTAACTTTAGTAGAAAATGTCATTAAAACTGTGTGTGTGTAAGGTGAAAACTAAAGCTTTTGGTTCATCTGTAAAGATTTTTAATTTAGGAAATCAAGAAATTAATATTTGCTTTTATCATGGTGTTCAGTGACCTGCACAACTCTTTCATGCAGATTCCTCTACCCTTTCTGATGTTTTGAACAATCACAGCAAGCCTAGATGGAGATTTTGGTTGTTTCCAGCTTTACTGCTTCTCAAGCCAGTTGTGCTCAAGAGAAAAACCACCAGAACTCTGGAAGTGACCAGATGGATCTGTTACTGTTTTGAAGTTCATGCACAATTTTCAGATATGCACACACTGACCACTAAGCCCTTCACTGAGAGCACAGGCACTGAAATTGTGAAAATCCTTGAGGGTTTCTGCTTGATGAAGTATTAAGCTGCTCTTAACACAAAAATTGTTCAGCCTGAACCTACAAAGTCTGTTCTCTTTGGTTCTTTGAAATAGCAAAAAAGTCTATTTTACATAATTTTGCACACAGTTTAAAATAGTTCTTTTTAATTAAAGTGTTTTACAACCTCTAATTTTGCATTTGACATTTTAATAAAAAAAATCTTTTGTCTTGTATATATTTGTCTAATCTCTGTGAAAGAAGCCACTGTAAACTTTGTATGCAGGCATATTTTACACAGTGAAGAAATAATTAGGAATGTAAAATGGATTATCTAAGGGAAAAAATGCTGTAACTTTGTAAAAATATGTGTGGGATGTTAAATGCTTTGTCTCTGATTCTTATCTTGTAGGCTTTTCCTATGCACTCAAGTATTTAAATTTTAAAAGGCTTACAGGAGTAGGCATTTTCAAACTTGGATTACACTGTGTACTCAGAAAATGAGAAATGCAGTTCACCTCTCTCCTGTGGTCCTACTTTCATATTTCCACTTCATGCTCTCTCCACCTTTCTTGGTGTTTGACTGTCTTCTATGCAAGAAAGGTAATGTGACCTGTAGTTACCACCCAGTGCCTTGCCTGCTCTAAGAGAGGGTCAGTCAGAGCTGGTTAGTTTGAGCTTGGTCTCTCTGGACTAGAGCCAGTAACCCAGCACCACAACTGTCACTCTTACCAGAGAAATCAGAAAATCAGATGCTATTCATGCTCCTAAATAACTGCTGTCTTTTAGCAGCCCTGGCTCCCCCTGCCTGCCCTGGGACTGGGCTTCAAGCACAGGAGTAGATCACTGCACCTTCTCATGGCAATTAAAATCCTCTTTTGTGCTGAAGAAAGGGGGAAGGAAACCCTGGAGCAGAGATGTATGAGGCTAAAATTGGCAAATTGGGTAGGTTCTTTGGCACGTTCAAAATAAATACTGCAGAACTGAGGAATACAGGCACTTTAGGTAGGTGGTGCTGTAGGAGTTACCATGACCCCAAATCCACAACAGTGCCTTGGTATCCCTGAAAATAAGTAAAAGGGAAGAAAGAACAAAAGAGGGTGGTGGGGTGACAAAGTAAAAAAAGTCTTCCAGACAAGGCAAGTGATAATCTCATTTCTAGTGTTTAATCAAAAAAACTCAATTTTCCCTCCCTTTAATTCTTCCTTGGTTTTTGCCCTTCTCTTTCCTTGGTCCAACCTTCCCCTGATTACTCCAGCCATAGTAATATAGATTTACATTTTATCCTGGAAAAATTCATACTGTTACAGTCTAAAGTATTTGACAGGGCCTTTTTTAAAAATCCCTGTTCTGTAAACATGACTATATTGAACATGAATTAATTGATGCAAGATATTTTAAAATGCTATTTCCAACTTTTCCTTCTGAGAAAATGTTCTGCCTTTAATTATGTAGCACAACTACAAATTAGTAGTTATGCAAAAGGAAAATTAGCCTATATAAACCACTAGGGAAGTGATGGGGGAATATAATTTTTGCCTATTATCTGTGCAGGAATATCTCAAGTGTGCAAATAGACAGACAATGAGGGGATGGGAAGCAGTAGGCCAGAAAATGTTTGGAAATATAAATCACAAACTGAATGCAAAAATAGTTAAATGCTTTTGCAAAAACAAATTTCATGTTGGGTTGCACAAATGGGCTTCTGGTTTGGGATGCCTTTGTATTTTTCCAATATTCTCTGCAGTGTAACTGTCAAACTTCAGCAAAAACTTATAACCAACAATTTGCTCAAAAACTACACAGTGAAGAGAAGCAACATGAAAACAGCTCCCCCAGGCCTGCTGAAGGCATTAGCATTGCTTAGTTTGGTGAAAGGAGGTTGGGGAAAGGTATGAGAACTGTATATTAAAAAATGTGGCTATGAACAAAGAAGAAATAAATTCTTCCCATTGTGCATGGGACCGGAAGCAAGGGATGGAGTTACAGGCAGGGATTAAGGGTTCAGAACAAACCTTCTCCTACCAGCAGTAGTTAAATACTGATCTGAACTGCCTGGGCAGGTTGCACAGTCTCTGCCCTGGTAATCTTTTGGGACTGGTTGGCCAAGCACTTATCAAAAATGGCACTGGTATAACTGGTCCCGCTGTCAGGCACAGATGTGGACAAGATGTCCCCTTCAGATGTTCATCTTTGTGATGATACTGCTTTTTTCTTTGGACCCTGACCTCAGATATTATAAAGTTAGATGTACATCTTAGCCCCCAACTCAAATGATATGTATTTTGCTCTTTTTCACAAGCTCTCTTATGTTTTGGAATTTTTGTGTTCTATATTTTCAGAAATGAATTCTTTATATTCCTTTTCAATATGTCTCTGTTTAAATTCATTACAACATTAAATATAATTTAACCTAAATCTGAATAGAATATTATTTCCCTGTTATAACATGTGTATGGTTTAGAAAACAAATTAGAAATGTTTCCCAGAGAAGGGAGAAATGTGTATGTTCTGTTTTCTTTTTGCAAAATTAGTTGGTGAATCTTACAGCTCTGCTATCCCTTAATATCTCCATTATCTCAGGCAGGTTCTCAGCTAGAGGCAATTTTATTTATTTAAGCAGGAAAGCCTGAGATGCCATCAGTAAAAATGAAAGTCCAATTCCACAATGTAACTTTCTTGAGGTTAAGAGTATTGATTGAACTTGAGATGGGAATCTATCACTCATGTGTTTGAATGTGTAAAGAATTTCTAATGTGAAGGTAACTGGAATTGATCTGAAAAAAAAAGGTAAAAATATATTATACTTTCATAAAGACTATATTTAAATTTATTGTGTTACATGGAGTAAGTTTTTCTTTCTTCTCTTTTTCTATGCTCCCACCTCTGGCCTGTTGCGCTTTTCCCAGAGTCACCTCCTTGGAGCTCCCCTCTGGAGCTGGGAATAGGATAGAGCTGGGCTGTGTCCCTCACTGGAGGGAAGGGGATGAGAGGACACCCAAAGCAACCATCCTGAGCAAATGTCAAAGCGCTGCTCCAGGAGAGAGGATGACCAAGGGCAGGCATTATCCACTCCCCAGCATCTCCCACGCTCCAGACCGTGTCCCTTTGTGGTGCTGTCCTCGGGGAAGGAGCCTGTGTTTGCTGGGCTTGCCAGCCCCTCAGCACAGCTGGTTATTTCAGCACGGGCTCAGACAGGCAGGGTCAGCTCGTGGAGCCGCACCAACTCCTTGCTTTGTTGTTGTTT